CTGACGCGGATCCCATCCACTACGACTACATGGACGAATATTGCAACACCGAAGAATATTGAAGTCGGAGACTTCAACCGTAATAGGGGGGTAATGTTACAGTAACATTTAGCCCCTATACTCATTTTCCTTTTACTTCCAAACGGGCCGTCCGTACTACGCTTATCTCTTATCACTTCCAAACGGGCCGTCCGTACCACGCTTATCCCTCATCATGCCTATCTCTTATCTTGACCAAGCGGGCTGTCCGCCTCTTTTTGCTTCTATCTTGATAACGCATTTACAAGCTCCGCTTGAACACTGGTATATAAACTTACCTACCTACGGTTGTATTCTTTACTTTAATCTACTGGGTTTTACCTGGAACATTGTCCTTCAGCAAGGTCTCCAACCTTGCTGCCTAAGAACCACTATTCTAAGGGAGTCAGCGACACTCGCCTTAGCCAGAACACTTGATCTCTCAATCGAGAGCAGACTTACGTCTATCTGGCATCCTGCCGATTGTCTACTCAGACAGAGATAGCTCGACTCATCCCAGTCGTAACACCTCCTGTCCCCAGAACAATGTCCTTCGACTCACGCTGAGCTAGACGCCATGCGTGACGTGCCTTACCAGCACGCGATTGGTTCCCTCATGTACGCTGCCACCAGTACGCGACCAGACATAGCTTTTGCAGTCGCTACCCTCTCTCAGTTCATGCATAACCCCGGCAGACCACACTGGGAAGCGGCAAAGCATGTGATGCGTTACCTAAAAGGCACTGCCAACTACGAACTTACCCTTGGCTCCACAGATGGAGGCCTTGAGGCATTTGTAGACGCGGACTGGGCTTCCCAGCCTCATTGGCACTCAATGTCAGGTTACATTGTCTTACTCAACGGAGGCCCCGTTGCGTGGAGCTCATGCAAACAGGCCCTAATCGCGCTATCAACCGCGGAGGCAGAATATATAGCGTTAGCCACTGTTGCGCGGGAGCTACTGTACCTTCGGTACCTCACAGAGGAGTTATACAATGAGTCGCCCCTCCCCACTCCCGTTTACTGCGACAATCAGTCAGCCATTGTGCTTGCCTCAAACGGCAAGTTCCAATCACGTACGAAACACATCTCCATTCGCTATCACTTCATTTGTGCCCTTGTCCGCGACAACACCTTCCAGCTCACGTATTGCCCTACGGATGACAATGTCGCGGATGGCTTTACCAAAGCCCTCCCGCGCCCACGCCTTCAGAAGCTTCGACTCTTGATGAGCCTGGAATGCGCTCAAGGGGGAGTATTGGACGCAGAACAATCTGATGTGTCCGAAGAATCCGAGAACGGGACAATCAGGAAGGAGCATAGTACGAGTGCATCCCAAACGAGCAGAACGAGCGACGCCTGACGTCGGCTCGTACGTTTCAATATATTGCTAAAATTTCATTCCTATTTCGTCCGCACATAAAGTGATTCGTATTTCGTAGGAACATCTCAGTCCGTTTTCAAGAGACTGAGATGTGAGTACATAGTTCTACCTAATGTTTACAAAACTAACAAGACCTAGATACTTTGTCGTTCTAGGTACATACAATGTTAGAGTCCGTTTTCAAGAGACTGAGATATACTTTGTTGTTCTAGCTTCGTCCTGACTCGTCCGCTCGCCTTAGAACTCAATAGGACCCACCCAAAGGTGATGCATTATCAAAATTATGCATTATGGGGCCATGCATTATGAAAAAAAAGTGTACTGTACTCTCAATTGAAGGCTGCCAAGGTTTCGCTCTCTCACACTGAATCGCAGTTCTCAATTGCAGAACAGATCCTTTTGCTCATTGGTCAACCATATGTCCCATGTCAAAAGTCGTCGAGTTTCAAGAGGAAATGAAAAGAAATTGGTGCAAATATAGCGTACAAAAGTAATAAAGCAACGACCGAAGCTTGTATGTCATGTATTGCAAATTTGCTCAGCCATGATTGGTTCGTGGAATATAGCCTCCAGCATCTGAACATCGTGCTCAACCATGATTAACTGTCCGCCTTCTGCTCCATCAGGTCTCCAGAGATGCTTCCCTCGGTATGCATTCATTGGGTACCGGTAGTGATGTTCCGGCCCGGTGTAGAAACAACAATACCGAGAGGAACTAATGATGCTCCAGACTGTATCTGTAAATGTTGTAAGGTCACGCGTTGCCTAGTCTGCTATACCTGAGACGACAAGTGCGTTCGACCCTAAAGGGGAAGCAAGTGCAGCAAGGATCTGGTAGTAGGCGCTGAAGGCGCTACTGGTCGGCCAATGCGAAGCGCGGGAAGCATGCGCGCGTGAGCGGAAACAAGTGAGAGTAAGTGTGAGTTTGCTTAAGTGGTGATATGATGCAAGACAAGAGATGTGAGTGTGAGGTGCCAAGGAATAGATTGCCACTATACTCTGCTAGGTAGTAAGTGGGTAAGTGGGAGGTAGAGTGGAAAGTTGGAAAGTTGGTAATAGTATGTAATGCTGGCGCTTATATACGGCGCCTAAGTGCTGTCACATGGAGCCGAAGCACTACCGAGTAAGGTATGTAAAGCTATATGTAAGTAAGGGTCCAAAATAAAGGTGGAACGATACACAGATAAGAGAAATGGAAACATACGCACTAGAGAACTTGGTGGACAGTGGATGGATGCTTCCGGATGGCTGGCGCTATAGGGCGCTCAAGCGCGGGAAAGCGCGCGCGCGTATACATAGTAAAGCACGGGAAGTCGTGCGCGCATGCTGCACCTTGCGTGGGAAAGCTGCGCCTTGTAAGGGAATAGCTGTGGATAGCACACAGAGTGATGCTACAAGTTCATGCTATGTACTCCCTAGTGAATACTGCCATATCATGCAATGAGAGGCATGAGTCTCTACACCGGCTTGGCCCAAAAGCCGCAGCTTTGGCCTGGCTTCAGACGGCTCTGGCCTGAGCTGCGGCTTGAGTAGGGAATTTGCGATTCTGACAAAGTGAGCATGAGCAGGTCATTGTGAAACCAGGATTCAACCACATGACTCACCTGCAGATAAATTGCGGCAGTCGAGAGTGGCGGTGGAATTTCGGCGGCTTCTTTGTGACATGCGTTACCCGAAGAGATCGATGGAGGTGGAGGGAGATGCATGAGTAGAAAGGGAACACTGGATCCAAATGCACGGGTGAGGGTTGCGGTGGTGAATTTTGACTCTAAAGGAGGAGCGCTACTGTACCGAGTTCAGACATGCGTATGTTAGATTCGATACGCCTTCCATCTTGCAAACATAGTTTGGAGGCCAAATCACGCACGCACCTTGCAGGGACCATGTTCTCCAAAACCAAGACCATTTTCGGAGAGCTGTGTCCTCCAGTAGCTTGGGCTTGCAGGACGGGGAACGCGCTTGTAAGGATTAAAGTTAGCAGGGACATTCTGAGCCCACCTCATGCCGGTTGCCCAGTAAACACCAGGACCTGCACCATTCATGTTGGAGGTAGGTTTATACTGCCAAAAGCCAGCTTTCCAATGTGGGTGAGTGTTGGCGCCAGGCGGCATGGATGCTGGACCAGGAAAGTTTGGAGGAAGAGCAATGCCAGCTGGTGGGGGCCAGGTGCCTTGCCAACCCTGTGGCATAGAATGTTGCTGCATGAGTTGTGGATTGGGGTGCCAGTGTCTTCCTGATTGAGCCATGATGGTCCTTTGATAGATATGATAGTAAGTTCAGATTTTAGTTACAAGGACGAATGAGCGTACTAGATCTATACACACACTTGTGACAGACACTTGAATCAGAAAGCCAGAAGGGTATCGCAAAGAGGGAGTGATCTTGGCTGGTTTCTACAGCTTGATGTCAATAGTTGGTATAGTTAAGAGACGTGAAGCACGATGGAAGTGATTAAAAAGCTAAAACAAGACGAGATAGAAACCAGATTCTCAGTTGAGCTTGGGCGCCGCAAGGCTCAGGCACAGTTTCAAAAGCCGCAGCTTCGGCTTTTCATAATGTCAAGCCAGGCCAAAGCCATCACCAGGCCGTGACTTTGGCCCGGCTTGGCCTGGCCCACGGCCTGAAGCCGGGCCGTGCACATCACTAGGTACCGGATTTCGCCCTTCTTTCCCGACCAGTCGAAATCCACCAACTTTATTCCAGAGCTGCCGTCTTTCTTCACCAAGATCATCAGCAAAACCCTGATTTGGGTACAGCGCCACAGCCACACAGCGTGTCACAGGTCACAATTTTTTTTTGCAAAGGCTCTGCAGCATCACAGAAGTACTAATTCTATGTAAAAATAAATGTAATGTAGTCATAAATATATATACAACATGATGGTATACTAACAATTATGTTTTATTGAGAAATTGTGTAGTGTGCAGCACTGTGCAGCGCTGTGCATGGGGGGACCTTGCTGTGACACTGTGATGCTGTGCAGGGTTGTGCAGTGCTGTACATAGGGTTAGGGTTTTGCTGATGATGTTCGTGTCGCGAATGTTACCATGAACAAAACCATTGTCATGAAAATATTTGAGTTGCCGAGCAAGTTCGTCTTGATAAGAGTGATGAGCAGAACATTCCCACAGACAATGGTAATCGTTGTCAATCAACTCCATGACGACCATGTACCACCCACCGGACACATCAGCAAACTAAAACGGCCTGTACAGAGCTGTACAGTATCCCAGCTCCCTAGCTTGGTCCCTACTACCTAGCTTGCTACAGTGGCAGACTTTTCTGTCAATCTCTGTACAGATGCCCACAGACATGCCCAGTGAGCACCAAATAACCCTCAAATAGTCCTGGTTTCCTCTGTCCATGTCTGTACAGGCCCTCACAGATCACTCAAGGAACAGAAATTGTGCAGATAATGCTCCCTATACACCTTATTCACTCTGTACAATAAATAGCCGCAGATAATATATATTGATTCTTGGATGTGAAAACACAAAAACACGTAATACTAGTAGCGGATGCAACAGATCAAGAGAAACGGTATGGAGTACAACTAAGAGCAGCGGAGAACTGCAATTCAGGCACGGAATACAAAGAGTTAGTCCAGGACGACCTGGAGATCATCGTGTTTGGCCTCTGCTGCACCACCATTGAGCTTGATATTTTCAGCCCTGTATGAATGAAATCAGTTTAAAGTTTTCGGCACAAAAGTAACTCACCATCCAGCTTCAGCCCATTCTCGAAGTTGTTCTAACAATCTAGGGCCGTGATATTCGTCCTTGAGGGTATCTTTGATGATTTGGATCATTTTGCGGTAGATGGGAGAGTATTCCTTCGAGGAAAAATTGGGATAACATTTACTGTTCCTGTTCTTCTCGAGACCATCAAAAATGCAATGGAACTGTAGAGAAAAAAAATCAACATATGGGCATGACATCGGGGAGAGAACACATTACCACTGTGGCAACTAAGGCCAAACACGATATGGGTAATTGCATGCGGAACTTCTCTGGCTGCCTCCGCATGATCTGGTAAGGCCCTGTGTAAAAAAAGGCTATGCAGGTATCACGGAGAGCAGGATGGGCCAAATTCCTCGTTTTCCCCTGTTGATTTTGTTGTGAGTAAGGTTGCGATTAGTACAAGATCACTTACATTTTGGTCTACTCTGAACCATAAAAATGAGCCACCCTTGAGTAAATCTTTAGCGACCCTTTCGACCCAAGTCGCACGTTGTTGAGGAGGAATGGAAGGCGGAGGCAAAAGTGAGTATGATAACAGTGCGATGCTTATCGCGGTTTTCTTCAGATCTGATCACCAAGTCGACAGGTCGTCGTACAACTTCAGTACAAACGCGTCAGCGAGGCATCAGCATAGATGTAAATAATCCACGTACCAACCGTGTCATATTGTATTGCTGCTCCGGCCAAACCCCTGCACCAAGGTATCAAATGGATTAGTTTGGCAAAAAACAAGCACATACCAGCCTCGAATTGTCTACCGCTCTTATCCCATGCAACCAAAACTGAAACTAGAACCTCAGAGATGGTTCCCGGCATCCCCTTGACTAAAGGTGGGAAAGGGTTTTCCAGGGCATGCTGAGCACGACACTCTCCTTTAACCTCCTCGAGGAAACTTTTCCAGCGTGGCCCGTACCAAGCCAGTTGGTCAGGCCTCGGCCCACTTTCAGATCCCTTGGATCTCTTGGATCTCAACTGACTCCCAGCATTGGCCGACTCTGCCACTTGATTCAGCAGCTGGAGCGATTCAGGGTCGGGAAGGCAGGGCTGACTGTTTTTATCCTGATGGCGCTTCAACACATCATCGGGGAGGTTCGAAGTAGTAGTCTACAAAAAAAACCATGAGCTTGATCTAAAACAAATTTGCACCCTCACCTGAGGGCCCGATTGTTCCCTCTGCACTCTTGGCAAGGTACCCAGAGACTTAGAAGGCGAGAAACTGTGAGCATGATCTAAATGAGTAATGAAAATCATACCTGGTTGGTGTTGTTGAGATGCATCCGGGAAGTGTCGTCATCTTCATCACGTGAGTATTGGAAGTCGAAATCTGGCGTGAGAGGGCGAGCAATTCGAGTCTGAGTGGGTAGTTCTTCAGCCAAAAATCCTGTAGATGTAAGACTCAGTCAGTGAAGGTACTTTAGACGCGAAATTCTTACCCGGATGTCCTTTGTGCCATTGACGAGCCTCCCCCCAACCAAACTGCTGTGATTCGTTATTATCTCCTTTGTCTCTGTCTTCTTCGTCTTCTGCGTCATCAATGTCGTCTATATCGGTAGCACTACTGCTGGATTCACTGTCCTCCAGGTCGGATCCTACCAGTCCTGCACAAAGTGCTTGGCTAACATCATGCTCCTTGCGTAGGGCTGGGTCCAGGTTGTGCTCTGAAAAGGTAGCAGCAAGTGGACGCTGGGAACTGTGAGCATAATCAATGAGAGCGTTCTTATTACGTTTTTCGGTAACCTTCATTCCCATAGCGAGATATGAGTCGTTAGAGGCTTGAGGACTGGGTCCCACACCAGGCGTGGTGGTCAAAGCTGCAAATCCGAACCTCCCACCGCCTTTCTGCGATGAAAGACTGGGAACTAGAGTACTATGTAAGGCTGCTAACGAGTTCGACAGGGAATTGCGAACAGTAAGGGTTAGAAAAGAGACGTGTTAATAGTTAACACGAAAAGAGATGAGACTATGAGTGGAGACGAGGACTATCTTAGAGGCTCTTTCGAACGTTCTTGGAGCGGGGAAGTCACTGTGTGATTTTCTGTCGGTATGAGTGTACGTGGAGGGTTTATATACGTTTTCCAGTAGCTTACTATGCCGAAACGAGAGTGAAAAGCATATGGCGAGTCCAGAGATATCGGTGAAGGAACGGGAATCGTGGAATGAGAGCACAAGGTATAATAACGAAAGTGAGTGAAAGGAGATGTAAGGTGTAGAGATAAAGGAATGTATCCACGTAATTCAGATGCGAAGAGTTGCGCTCTTCGCATCAATGAATCACGTGGATGACGTCGACCGCGTGGTTCAAGCGTCATACTTTGAAGTATGGTCGGCGCGTAGAGGATGTGCAATCCTTACAACTAACATCGAGGTTTGTGGACTCAGGACTGTATGGTGGAGGCTGCACCTAAATGCGCAATCAGCACTATCTATAACAAAAGTTGTGTTGTACCTTTGGACGACTCTTCCGGCCTTTACGAGGCGGTTCTGGAGCCTGAGGATTCAGGGGATTGAGTGTGCTAAGAGATGTAGTGCCCTTAGGTTTCCGATTCTGGGACCGAGACTCTAAAACTACCCCGATCTTCTCCAGCTGGGCATTCCTACCCCCTGTCCCTGCATTAGGACGGCCAGAACGTCGAGGAGCAGTGTCTGTAGCATCAACTTCAGTGAGACCGAGAGACACGAGTGGCATGCTGGAAATTTTGGAGAGGTTTGTAGCACGATGCCTCTTCAGTGAAGTAGCCTTTGAAGTGTCAGAAGCTTTGCGCTTGGACCTTTTCTTCTTAGGACTGGCTACTGTACGAGGAGGCATGGTGCAATACAGAGAGCAGCAAGACAAAAAAAAAGTTGATCAGACTCACCATTATATACGCATCTCGGTAGAAGGATCCGAGCGGCCTTGAGAAAAATTATACTTCTCCAAGTACTACTATAAGCATGCGGCCGGTATTCGCCTCGATTGTATGCAGGACATATTGCTGATGGAGATAATCAAAGACCACGCCTCCATTAGTGAGATAATGTTCGCACCTTTGAGTCAATGCGCAGTTGTACTTGCTACGCGATTTATGAGTGGTGAGGTATGAAAGAAAGTTCAGACATCATACAAATACTATTTGAGTCAACATATTATGTAAACAAAACAACGAGTCCATCAGATGCAAGGCAAACAACATGTCAGTAGTAGTACGGGTGACAAAGAGTAATGAAAATTTTCGGGAAATACGTGATACATATCGCTAGTCAATGTAAGAGATAGTACCGCAAACACATTGATAAAAAAAAATACATTTGCTCAGATATCATCTGATTTCTTCCGCTTTAGCATTCCCGGGCCCACAGGCCGCAAAGATATTGAAGCAGCATGTTTCAAGTTGGGCGTACTATTGAGAACAGTGGCAGACTTCTTCAGCATTGTCAGAGTGGATTGAAGCTCCTCATCGTCGGGAAGTTGATTGAGATGAGAGTTGAGTACGTGAAGAATGGTGTCAAAGGTAACAGGGTGAACCATGTTATCCTTCAACGCTGCACACCAATCTTTTGCCAGGGGGACAAGAGGCTTGAAGTACGGGTGAAATTCATTTAGAAGACGTTCTTCATCCAATGGGTTCGCGAAGAAGGTAATCTTGAAGGCGGCGCACAATGCCAGGTCAAGGCTGGTCCAGCAATTGAGCAATGAATTAGCCATGCGCTCCTGACGGACCGCGCCATTGGGACCACTGAACTTGATACAAACCCAAGCGAATGTGAAAAAGAGAGATTCAAGGTCATCAGAGTAACCTTGGATCACATGAGAAAGAGGCAGCGCCAAAGAATCCGAGGAGGTTTTGGGAGTTTTGGGGGCTGGAGCTTTCTTCGATTTTGACTTGGGAGTTTTTGATAGCCTTTTGTTCTCGGCTTCTGCCTTCGCCTGTTGCTGCATGAGTGAAACTTGGCTGAGAAGCCTGCGTGACATGAAGGGGACCATGCCCTGGAAAGTGAATTAATATTTGAACTCGATATGAAGTGACGTACTTACTGTACCACCAATGGTATACTTATTATCTGCAGTAATACGTACTGCAAATTCCCAGTCAATAAGGAACCCCTTGCTAATATCTAAATCGTCCAGGATCATCGCATTATTTAGACTGCAATCGCGATGCAGAATCTTGCGCTCCTCCACCGCCGTTTTCTGGACTAGCAAAAGAGGGGACATCAATTCAGCACTCGTGTTCAACTGTGAGTCAACCAGACACTTACTGATCACAATATCCCTTAGCGCCCTCACCAACTCTTTTAGCGTTCGAAACATGTGGAGGGGGCGAGCACATGGTTTTAAGATAAGGCGGTGTAGAGACTCATGCCTCTCATTGTGTGATATGGCAGTTTTCACTAGGGAGTACACAGCACGAACTTGCAGCATCACTCTGTATGCTATCCGCAGCTATTCCCTTACGAGGCGCAGCTTTCCCGCGCACGACTTCCCACGCTTTACTATGTATACGCGCGCGCGCTTTCCCACGCTCGAGCGCCCTATAGCGCCAGCCTTCCGGAAGCATCCATCCACTGTCCACCAAGCTCTCTAGTGCGTGTATTTCCATTTCCCTTATTTTGCATATCATCCCACCTTTATTTATATCATGGACCCTTACTTACATACATATATCTTTACATACCTTACTCGGTAGCGATTCGGCTCCGCATGACAGCGCTTAGGTGCCATATAAGCGCCAACATAACCTTCCAACCAACAAACTTTACCTCCCACTTACCCACTTACTACCTAGCAGAACATAGTAGAAATCTATTCTTTGACACCTCGCGCTCGTATCTCTTGTCTAGTATCTAATCACCACTTAAGCAAACTCACTCTTACTCTCTCTCATTACCGCTCACGCGCGCATGCTTCCCGCGCCTTGCGCGCACCGCGCTTTCTCGCGCTTTGCATCAGCCAACCAGTAGTGCCTTCAGCACGCACTACTAGATCCTTGCTGCACTCGCTTCCCCTTTAGGGTCGAACGCACTTGTCGTCTCAAGTATAGCAGACTAGGCAACGCGCGACCTCACAACATTTACAGATACAGTCAGGAGCTTCATTTGTTCCTCTCAGTATTGTTGTTTCTACAGCGGACATGAGTACGACTTGTGCCCTGGGTACTCCAGTGTTCTCTTTTGCGATAACTTCGAGTGTTGTCGACCTCACCCTCGGATGTTGTGACGAGCCAATAATCTACCAGTTCTGGAACGCCAGGGACACCATGCATCAATTTCAGCATCTTGATCTCGTTCAGGATGACATCGTCCTGCTTGCCAAGAACCCAATGGTTCTTGACAATAAAGTCCTCTTCATCCAAACTGGCCAGATAGCAGATAGTTCCATGACCAACGAAGCCCCGACTTGCGAAGAGAATTCTCTTGATGATATATATGTTATCCCCTACACGGATCTTGCCGCAAGGTTCAGGTGAGTGCGCAGAATAAGGAAATTGGGAAGGATGGGGTGTGACGGAGCATATGCTCTCTGTCAAGTCCTGGGACATTTGGGACGCAAGGCCGAGAAGGGGGGCACTGGATACCATAGTAGGTTGCATGTGAAAGGGAGAGGGAGGGATTCTTTGTGTGCAAGTGGTTGAGTAGTTGTATCATTTAAGCTCACTTCGAGCGAGTCCTTGCTTGAGTGTTCCTCAAAGGCAGAGGCATCAGAGACTACAGACTCGAGGTGATCATCAGACTCTGATGGGCTCTCGGAAACAAGCGGTTCAGCGAAGGATTCAGAGGTGGAAGCAGCAGGGTCTGCTGAACTGCTATGTCGCGCAGGAATATTCTTGATTGGACGATAGACTTGGATGTCTGTGGAAAGGGGTGGCGAAACATGTTTCGTGAAGGAGACCGTTGAGTCGTACCCAACACATTCTAGACTGCCGAAATTGATGGCAGCGATAATATGAGAAAATAGATCTGGTTGCTGATAAATATCAAAGCGAGTAGATACAGTGCCACCAGAGTGATCGTACATGAGGACTCTGAGGTGGCGATATGCATCGGTGAATGATAAGATGAGCGCGAAGTGCCTCCAGGGTTGTTCACTCATCATGAGGTAGGCGTGGGTGTCTGCAGCCTTCCCAAGCCACATTGCAGGCTTGTAAGGACTGTGTGTCAGTTCGCCGGATACCCTGATGTTTCCCCATCTTGCTGTGATATCATCAGAGAGGACAAGATCAGGTTTACGCTTTATGTTGCTGCCAGGCAACACCTTGTGAGCACTGGCTGCGCTCCAAGTGCGAGTTGCATAGCACTCGTGTTCGAGCAGGGGCTGTGATGCTGATAAGCAGCCAGCAAGAGCGTTTATAAAGGATGTGACGATTTCTTCGTAAGTCACACTCCCTGCAGCCTCTGGGTCCGGACTCACTGGAGTGCCACTAGTACTACTCCCAGTATTTGAGTCCGACTCATCTCCAGGAGGGTTAACTGGAAGATCCCAGTTCCAAGTGCGAGTTGCAGTGTCGTACAGTGGCACTAGGGAATCTGGCGATAAGCCCTGGTATTGTGATCTGACATGTTCATTGGGATAAATTATCTTTCTAAGGGGAATTTCAAGGTCGGATACATCGGGGAGAGGGATTTTGAAAGGCTGGAAGATGTGGGACAGCAAGTGTCCTAGCGGTTGCGATGCCTCTGGTGGATCCTCGTGTGTAACCAAGCGATTGAGTTCGTCAGAGGTGATTTTGTTCTTGGCATGAACATCGCTGATGTTGGGGATGGACAATAGGGAAGAGAGTTTAATTCCGTTGTCAACTGTCCTGAAAAAGAAAGCCATTTTTTGGGCGTTTACACTAATTATGACAAGGGTGGGACCGCTGGAGAGCTTATCATGCACCGCATAGTGCCCAACAAAGCTCAGCGTTTCAGGTGAACTAATAATAAAATGACTTCTAACCAATAGTGATTAATGCTGAAAATAGCGTGAAGTGAAAAAACGATACAGCTATCTGCAAAAGCTAGTACATGGAAAGTGGGAGGAATGTGTTTTTATCCCAGTATTTATTAAGCCAGAATTCTGAAGAATGTTCCATACTGTTATATGGGGTGAGACAATGGTCCACGCTTGCACCAAAACGAGGTACAAGGTTGACAGGTGCCCTAAGCTGCGTGACTGGTACGATATCACCTACCCGAGTATCATTTGAGCGCATCGCTTGTTTGAGTACATGCAGTTGCATACTCAGCTCACGATCACTTCTACCTTGCGGAACGAAGTCAAAGTGATAAACATAGGCAAGGAAACAGTCCTTCCATGACCAATTTGTACCAGCCTTGCCAACAGGATGCATAATAAGCCTTATTTCACCAACAGTGTGCCCTGGTATTTGATAATGAAAATAGGAAGTATGGAAGAAGAGCAGAACGTACCACGAAGACCATCAATGGGCCATGCGCATTTCGCATCGTTGTTAATGATGACCGGATCATACCGGCTGCAGGTCCAGATGTCAGAAGGTGGTGAACAATTCAGGGTCTGGGCAAGCCGTATGATACTAACGTCATGAAAATCAGTATCCTGCAATCGAAACTTGAACCAGACTTGGAGCTTTTCGAATGAAAGTGGAGCAGTAGGTCTAGCTCTCCTAGCCCCCCCAATGGTGTGAACAAAATCCTGCCCATGCACAGCTTCACGACCGAGAAAGTCAGTGATGGCTGGTCGTAGGTCGGGAAGGCCAAATTTGAGAGCAGCGTCGTCAACAGAAATGTTTCTGATGGATGGGGCATAGGCGAGATGAAATGATGTGCGTCTGACAGAGAACGAGCGCAATGGCACAGGGACTGTCCCCACCTCTCTGTACTGGAGGAGCTTTGCAATTGCAAAGTGATTGGTGATGGGGCGTGAATGGCCAGGACATCCAATGGTTGCAAGAAGCTCTGCTGGGATGTCATGATTGTCGTCGACATCAAAATCAACGTCATCATTAACAGCATCACCATGATCTGTGTCAACCTGCTGCTTCGAGCCTGGCATGTTGTCCAGCAGATTCATGGCGAGTTCGAAGCGACGGCATTTGTCAGCGCGGTCCAGATGTCAACAGATCTGTGAATCATAGTCGTGGTTGTTGCTCGAGTGTGCGAGATCCTTGATTTTGGTGATGTGTGCATGTTCTGTAGTGTCAGCGGTCCATTGCATGATAACTCCACTGTTTCGGATACTCGGAACTATGCTCTGCATAAGCTCAATCTTCAGGATATATCAGTTATCAATGACTGCACTACACTGACCACGCCGAAATCCACCAGCTAAAATTGAGTCTTTGTTGGCGTGAAACACTTTGAGAGCTGCAGAAATGCGCTTGAGATCGACATCGTCAATACGAGGTGACTGCACGAGATAACGAAAGTCCATTAGAGCTCGAATGGCAGTGATCACGGCGCTAGGAACCACATCTGCACTAACTGCAATGATTGAGCGCTGGATGTCGCACTGAGCATGCCCTGTAACTTGTTTGAGCTTTGTAATGCCGCCGTGAAAATGGCGAAACCCTGTGACGGGCTGTAGCACAGAAAAGCGAAAGTCAAGTTCAGCGTCCCCCACTGCACAAACGAGCCACTTCACATCGTGGTCATAGAACTCTCGATGAATGTGATGGAGTGTCTCAGGAGTAAGGAAATGAGATGGTTCAGAAAGCACCCAATCCTCGAAGAATGGTTCAGATACGCCATTTAAGCGAAACCTCTGGGCTTCACGAAAGAATGCTTCGATATCGTTCGGATCAGCCCTTGTCCGGATGACACGCAGCTGGGCCAGTGTAGTTGATTTGGTCCGAGGGCTCATGGCGGAAAGAGTCTCCGAACTGCTTATACATGGCCATAGTGACCGGAGAGGTTTTCCCACCAACGCTAGCCAGCATCATGGCCTCCGGAGTATCAACAATGTAGCTTGCAAGCGGTGTGAAACAGTATCGACTGTGTCCAACAGGATCAGACAACATGACTCCTTCACGAGCAGCCTGCTTGAGAGGACGTAGCACGATATTCAAGCATTTGTGGATTAGGCGATCTTCGAGTACACCTTGCATACATTTTTTCTATAGATAAATTTCGGTACCAGGAGGAGGGCGGTAAGAACGAAAGTGTTAGATGATGATTTGAGCTGCGTGGACATGTGTATGTTAGCGAGGCTGATGAGGAGGGGATGTGCGACTCTGTCACCCATCATCATGGAGATATTGGTCTTGTCAGATGACAAAATTGTCCCAAGGAGTGTTGCACCTCTTGGCAGGGCTGACTGTTTGAAAAAAGTAAGTACAGCAATGCAGAAAGAAAGAAAAAACGCACCTGCATGTTCCATGCATCGTCAGCAGTCATCCATTCAGAGTACACGCGACACAATCGCTGCGCTGTAGTATACACCCTGCGAGGCGTAAAATCTATCCGATCGTGAAAGAAAGGGTGATTTAAAATACTCGCGATGCACTCCAGGGGATCACACCAATACAAAATGACAGGCGATTTTGTTGGATGTACTGTAGGGATGACTTGGGACAACCAGCGTGGTCCGCTGGGTAGTGTTTCGGCTCGACTACGTAGTTCCTTGGCTGACGAAAATGATAACGGAAGACTTTTTATCTTAACGGGATACTTGTCAGAACCGTGAATGCAACGAAAAAGTTTAAAACTGACCATCTCAAGTGAAAGAAAGCTGTCGATCTTTGCCAACCCTGAACATAGTAACCACGATGCAACCTCCCACTCTTTCCGGCCACTCAACGGATAATAATGATTTGTGACACGGTACACACTGTTCTCATCAGAATGAAACAGATCGAGGAATGTATAGCCCCTGCTGTATGTTTGAGGGGGTTCGGGATACCAGTCTATGAAGCCTGAGTCGGTTAGCTCGTTGACCTGACTATCACCCTCACCACTATCACCTTGAAATTCCTCATCCCAACTTGGATGTCCAAATACAGGCCCATCAAGCTCGGGGTCAACGTCTAAGTTCAAGTCGGGAATATTTGGTTCATGGTCCATATCCATGGAGGTGGCACGAACGGATGCAGAACATAAGTTTATGAGATCCTCTAGCCAACTGTTACAGCCAGAGCGGGGCTGGCTCATGTGTCGAGCAACAGCGCTATGATCTTGGAAGTTGCTTTTGCCGCACGACGGACACTGGTATGACATAGATAGATTGGATGTAAGCCAAATCATGAGAACGTTAAGTTTCATTTTCGGAATCACTGCAGTATTACTAACACATTTTCTATGCGCCATGTCGAACAGCAAACCAGTCCATCTTAATATAAGTAATATCTCATCAACTTCACACCATCCCGTTCATTGTTATGCAGGCATTAACCCTCTGTGTCCATCCGGTGCTATTTCTGACTTGTATGAAGTAGTGGATGCTATCGGGTCAATGGTAAGTTGTTTGCTATGTACGAGACAATGCTCTTTAACATTTTATAGACAATCCATGATATCGATGATCTTGAAGCGAACCTCATCATGGACCTCGCAAGGGCCAAACGAGACGTTTTCAATGCAGAGAAGAAGCTTGCTGACTGCTTGCTCCGTGAACACAAAGTCATGGCCAGTCTCTCGAAGCATAAATCCGACATTTCACAGCAAAAACTCGCCAAGGCGGATGTAGGAATAGGCCACATGCGGATTGTGTTCAAAAAACATGGTCTTTCTCATCATGGACGCATGCCAAGTGATTTTCAAGGTAAGTTCCTACAACTGTCACACTGGTACTAGCGCTAACGTCAAATAATAAATATAGAATCGCTTGGATGTCATCACATCAAGGTCCAGTTGGATTGATGACTCGGAGACAAGACTTTCTGAATGCCCACCCTATCGCGTCTATTTACCATTATACCACGCATGTAGTATATAAATATTCAAATGTATTGCGCAATAGATGTTGTCTTATTGTAATATAATGATTGTGTTTGAATTTAAACGTTCAAAATGAACAAGGTCTTTGAAAAATGATGAATTCTGGACTTAGCTGCCTCTGAGATTTCAAGTTTGGACTTAGGAAAAATTTCGAAACACATTGTACTAATTGAATCATCAAAGTACTACAAGTACTACATTAATAGTATACAAATTGAATTGTGCTGCACAGTCCTGTAGGCCATGTAGAACTGTGAGCGGCTGGATGCTTTGTGGTTTGAGTGTGCTGGGACCCTGGCGGAACTGTAGAGTCTGTCGCTAGCTGCACAGGAACACGAATTTTGTGCTTCCTGTGGGAAAAGTTGTGGTTTGCTGATGCAGGTGATCAAAGCCGTACAGCGCTGGAGCGAAGTCCCTCGAAGCACACAGCTTATGTGCATCAATCGAGTAGCAACGGACAAACTTGATGCAGACCTTCTTCTCATCTGTCGTCTGGGCAGCAAAGATCAGCTTTGTATCATCCATTTGGCAGATGTATCTGAAACGAAGCATCGACAATGTCTCAATGCAGGTGTAAGAATGCTGGAATGGAAATGCGATAAAACGATTGAGGTTTTGATCAAGAGTTGGTGAACTAGCATTTGAATCCATGGTCTTGTAGTATTCATTCAGGGACCGAAGAGCTTTTCTGAATGCACCAATATGGCGTGCAATGAACGTACACATTTTGGTGTCGGTGTGATGATACAGGAGGGGCAAAGCAGCTGAAAGCACCTGATAGTAGGACACTCTATCCACACAGCACCTGAGAAATCAATGTGGGGCCCTGTGAGTAGTGATCAGTGCATCACCACTTGCACAACACTTGGGAACTTACCAAAGAGAGTAATCAGGATGCAGGGAAATCTACTATGCTTCATCCTCACTAAAGGCTGGGTGGACCGTATGTAATATGAAATGGCCTGCATGTGGGGTTTGGAATGTGTAGCCCCTAGCTCATTATTGGCTTCAAGGATTGCATAATGAAAGCCCCTGTACTGAATATCACTGTCGGTCTTGTATTTCGTATGTTCAATTTTCGAGGGAATAAGGTCAATATGATGGTTCTGCAGAATTTCCCGGAACTTGGAAACTCATTTTTCTTCATCATCAAAGAAGTTCCACATGGCTTCTGACAAACCCATGACCAGGTCATTATCTTCTTTTGTCGGCTCATGACTTTCACAGTCGTTGATGAACTGGCCAAATATTGGATGGAGTAGAGTGGTAGGTATGGTGGAAGCAGCTAAATGGCGCCACTTCCGACCAATAGTACACAGATCATTTTCCTGTGACATCTTATTGAATACAGAAGGAATTCCCTGACTGGAAGGACAGCCTAATGATGCCTTATGGCTCTCGGACGTAGTCATGGTACGATCACAGGAGTAAAAAGATGACTAATGTGACAAATTATGTCACATGTAGGGAACAGCGTTTAGGATTACTGAATGACCAGTAAAATCTGAAACGGACAATATTTGTAATTGTAGCACAGAACAGACATAACTTGTTCCTAGGTCTCAATACTAGTGTGTTCAGAACTGCAGCCTATCTACCTCAATGGTTTGGTCTTAGGTGATGACCTCAATCATATCTTCTCAGTCGATATTCCATGCATGCACCGTCATCAGTGAATTCATGAGTCCTTGATTTTGTAGCCGTGGGAAGTATAAGATGATATCATTATGCTACGGCTGAATATACCTATGTATACAGCAATAAATATTAGTTATCAGTACATAGCCATGAATCTCTGAAAATTCATTTTACCACGAGGAGTTTGCGACAAGATTACAACATTGCGCCGTTGCAGCAATCAATATCCAATAGCATAGTTAAGTTATATTTGTTGACTCATACCATATCCCTTCATTTATGTTTTAAACTACCAAGTGATATAAGACTTTATCGTGGAAAGAACTGTTAGCACTTGTAACCTAATTTATATTCTTATGAGAGTTTCAACCAGCGAGGTATGATAGTGTAATTAGGTACCGTTTGTTGAGCAACATCATATTACCTCATTTATGTTTGACTTACAAAACTATATAGATTGGTTCAAATATTGCGTGAATTACAATGTCATCCAAGATCATGCACGTGACTATCACCTTAGCCTCAAATTTTACCTTAGAATTTTCGGACAACCTCAAATCATGTGACCAGCGCAAGTGGTTGAAATTGATTTGTCATTGTTTGCGCAGGACGGAAATTTTCACGCAAGTTCCTTTCAATCCTTCTTTCACCGCTACTACCACCACCTCTCGACTCAGCCTCTTCGTTCCTCCCATTCGTGGTGATCCCTCCCTGGCCTTTTCCTTGTGGACCTCCTTGGCCGTTCGTGGTGGTTCCTCCCTGGCCTTTCCTCGTGGTTCCTTCCTGGCTGTTCGTGGTGGCCCTTCCTTTCCTCGTGGTTCCTTCCTGGCCGTTCATGGTGGTCCGTCCTTTCCTCATGGTTCCTTCCTCTGGCCGTTCATGGTGGTCCTTCCCTTTCCTCATGGTTCCTTCCTCTGGCCATTCATGGTGGTCCTTCCCTTTCCTTTCCTTGTGGCTCCTTCCTTGTTGGCCTTTTCTCGTGGTTCCTTGCTGGCCTTGGTCCCTCCTTTCATTCATCTCTCCGCTATCTTTCCCTGTTTTCTTTTTGTCTTGTAGCTACATATGTAGTATTTAAATATAAATAAAATTAATTTGCTTCACAAAATGAGTGCTGAGGATGATAATAATTTGGTGCTGGTGACAAAATGGCAGGTTGTTGCAGGCAATCTGTCATGCTGGCGCTTTCGGTAGTTCTGTCTAACTTACTCCAGGTAGTATCATTCTGACAGATATCATGTAAATTTTGCAATTAGATAAAGCATTGTAAAGCTTTATATTTTCATGTCAATTATTTGATGCTTCGGAGTTGTGAACCTCCCTTTCGTTATGGCATTTCATAAAATTTTATACGATAATCAGGGACACGTCTTTCCTCTATAAGGCCAAACATAACAATGTGATTGTCGATAGCAAAATTATGCTAGTTCTTGTGATTATGTACTATATATTGTTATTTATTGCTATCTACTTTCCTCACGGGTTCACTGATGGTCCAGTCACAGTTGGTGACCTCAAAAAATTGATCAAGAAAGAGAAGAGGCCTGAATTTGACATTTTTGCGGCTGACTCTCTCCAACTGTGGAATGTGAGTAATCTAGTAATATCATGATCAGATGCTGTTGATCTGATACTTGGGAAGGTCGAAAAACTCTCTGTGGACAGTCGTGACCTCGAGAGCAATATGCTAAGGTTCATTGGGCACCAACTACCACTATTACCCCTTTCCAAATTGTCTGAAGTTTTCTCTACTAGTCTACTTGACGAAAGATGCTTGCATTTTGTTGTCCAGCGGCCACCTGCTGGTGTGTTATCTTTCCTCAAGGTTGTTACTGAAATAATGACTGCCTTCTAGGCAGCTCTTAGTAGGTCCTTAATGGATATATGACTTTCAAGTTTCATGAATAAGGGCAATGACTCAGAGTGGGTACGACGAAACAAGAGTGTAGTCGAGGAGAATTGACCTTGCAAAATGTGATAGGAAGGAAGAAATATGACTCGGAGTCATGAAAAGATTTAGACACTGTAGATATTGTCTCCTACGTACGTTTTCGTGCCTCAAACTTATGCAGAACATGAAACCATGGTTCAATGGAACATAGTCTATGAGTGATTGCGAACACGGGTGTTCCTTTCTTCAACCCCTGGCTTTGTAACACCCTCCCCAGACCCCCGATTCTGAACCTTGGCAACCTGCAACTCGTACCAGCGCCTGCGAACAGCTTCGAAGTTGTGCGCAGTGGTGCGTAGATCCGTAGCCACCGTGCTCAGATTTGCCCAGTTAATAAGTAAGCGGTTGAAATATTGACGGGATCGATCCATTAATTGTACTTCACTAAGCCTGACAGCGATTGTGCTAGGCAAGCGTGGCAACGTCGCAATCGCAGGGAGGTCACCAGATGTGTTGAGAAATATCCGTTTAGAGAAGGCGGGTGGGGTAAGCATAGGGGATAGCGCATCCTCTATTGCTCGCAAGTTGACGCTGGCGAGCTCGGGAGGTAAGCCAAGGGAAGCAAAATCGTGATTGGCATAAGTACGATAAAGGACATCGTCCTCAGGATGTGGAGAAGGGACTTGCGCCTCAGCATCCATATAGGAGTGGGCGGGTGGCATCTCAGTAACTTTATCAATAAACCCATCTACGTTAATTACATCTTCGACATGGTATTTCTGACAATCGCACCTTCATCAAAGAACTGAGCAGCACTACCAGCTTCACTAGATTCCTTGATAATCATATCAACTTGCGTCGCAGGTGGTGGAGAAAGAAAGAGAGGACTCACCCGTGTTTCAGTAGTAGCGATAGGAGACGGGCTGATAGGAAAAGGAGAAGGGCTGTTCCCAAAATGCGGTCGAGAGAAAGGAGGTGCAGGAGGGTGCAAATCGTTGGCTTGCTTCGCCCTCGTTAACTTAGGCCCAGGCAAAGGACGACGTGGACCACTAGTAGGTGGGATATAGCCAGAACCAGAGTGGGAGAAAGCAGGAGGAGCAGAATCAGAGGACGTGGCAGGCCCCTGCGATGAAGCATTGGTATCAGGTGGCTCATAGAACGAACAAGGATTCATGCGATAAACTGCAGAGTAAGACAAGGGTGACATTGGTGAATGAACTATGACTGCAATTACGACCTACCAAGATTCTTTGTGCGCTCCCCATGGCTCCAGTTGCATTTGCTGTGGTCAATGACACACCGTGCACAGCAATCCAGCAGTGTCGCACCTCGTACCACCGTTAGGCAAGGCTTAGTCCGTTGTGCTACTCGACATGGTTTGCACTTAAAGCGGACCTGAAAGCATAGGATTGTAGCATATTCATCAGCAAACGCAGAGCGATAAGTCAATAACATACTTTTCGAGGTTCACAAAGCCTGTACCTCTCCATGAGAGCACGGATCGACTGGCCTTTGCGGACCGATCGCTTAGATGGAGAATCCATTCGAACACGTTTAGTAGGGCGCTCACATGGCACATGAGACTGGAAGCAAAAGGGTGACATAAAAATTCACTTGCAAGAGACAAAGATGGATCAGAACGAACCTTTTCTCTACTAGCCGCAGCAGGGAGAGTAGTAGCTTGCAATAGTTGTTGTAATTTCGCAGCCGAACGTGTCAGACGACGAGGAGGGTCTCCAACAGCAAGGATCGAAGGCGCAAGATGAATATCAGGAGGGTTTTCTACAGCCTCATCGTATTTCTCGTCCTCAATGTATTCCTCATCACGATCACGATCACGATCACGATCATCTTCATCGCTCTCTAGTACCTCGTCTTCTCCGTCATCACCTGCCCAATATTGGCTTGATTCCTGTGGTTTGTCGATACTATTGCAAGTAGAGGAGATGCAGTGATCGTTCGTTCTGTTGATGGCCAATGTCGCAGCTCGTCTTTTGCCTGTACTTGTCGCATGCGGCGAATTTGCAAATTCCAACAGCGACTGTTTTGGGGCAGGAAGAACTTCGTCCTCATTTTCCTCGTCTTCGATGGAAGACAATGGAGGAGCTACCCTAGCGATCAGTGTTCTCGGCATCCAAGACTCGCCCCACCGAAGCCATTCGATAATTTGTCTATTATCGACTCGATCATGGAAGAGGCTGATGAGAGACTGCACGGTTGTCAACGGCAAGAGGTGCTGTCGCCTTGCACGAAGGCGATCCTTGGAAAAAGTGAGCAGTCAACAATGAACACCCAAGCAGGCGAGGCACAACAGAGCTTACCAGGAGTTCGACGGTCATCATTCCCCACTTTTCGACATCGGCGAGGTTAGCTGTAGGATCAGGTGCTGATTCTCTGAGTACGCGAACAGCGGCTGCAATGTGTTGGATCTCCTTGGTTTCGTTAGTAGACATGGTGACTTGATAGGAAGAAAAGTGAATGATTTTGCGAGTGAGAGGCTAAGAACAAGGGTTGGGCTGGGGGTTTGCGGTCCACGCCCTAGCGTGGGAGCCTCAGTCCCTGACCTGAAGATTGGACTTCGCGTTGCATGTACGGCTGTTTGCTGTATACCAAGGTGATTGTGAAGAACAAGCTCAAAGCCTGTTTCGTATAGTAACACTCAAATTAGTCACACTCATTGATTTTCGCAGATGAGCATTGTTTGACGCAGACCTTGCACATTCAGATCAGGCTCGAGTTCAACAACGTCCAGTGCCAGGCCGACTCTTTACTCCGGAAGTCCGCATGACCTGACCTTGCTGAAATGACGAAGCTATGGCCGGGAAAGGTCCTCGAATCTGAAGAAGTTCGCGTTGGCCCCCAAGGCTTACACTCACGTGCGCAAGTATATTAGCAACATTACCTCTCTGCCGGTTGATAAGCCCAAGATGCACTGACCTCATGAAAGGTCTCAGTCCAGAGGGGCTTCGTTGCATGATTCGCAACGGCCTTCGGCAGCACCAAAAAATGCGAACCAGCAATGCTAAGAGCCTTGGTGAAAGAGGCGAATATCGCAGTTGAAAATGAGGCTGACCATGAGAAGGAGCGTGTCGTATTTGAACTTTTTGGTTTGTGCAGCGGGGTAGGCTGCTGCCACGTATGCACAGAGGCTCAAACAGTGTATGACCCTGGGAATGACTTCTTTGGGAGTGTTCCCTGGGACGAAGTCTATGAGTATTGCTTTGAAGAACGGGCCGTCTCAGTGAGTGGAGGATACTGGGCCTGGGTGGGATGGGAGAGGGAAGCCTGCAAAGAGATGCCGGGGGTGTTGGCTGTTAAGATTCTGCGGTGCGCTGCCATAGTGGAGGAGCTACATCTAAATCGTTAACGTTGTGAAACTGGAGTCTCAATATTTGTTCGCTGAGGAATAGTTAGACTTCATGACATAAACAATATTGCAGTAACTTGGTGTACTCACTGTTCCGAAAATGTGAGAAGCCCAATTCAAACAACAGCCCGATGTAGTACGTGCCCGACAAAGAGACGAGTCGCTGCAATGAAGATTCAAACAAAGAGAAATTCAAACATATTCAAGTAAGTCATATCATGTGTTCAATAATCGGGATTCGGCTGCCGGCTCTCGTTTCTGCGTCACTGCACCTTTCCGTTTTCAGTCTTCAAGATGAATAAGTTGGGCGTCTATGCAGTACTCGCACCTGTGCACACCCACAGTCCCTCGATAGGTCTGACTAGGGTATATTGTTCGGTACTCTATCCCAGTCCGGGCGCCTCGGCCATACTCAACACCATCAACCTCCGGTAAAATGTCTCAGCTCATCCCAACCACCACACCTCTTCGAACGTATAAAGATCATACAGATGCTATACGCGCTGTAGCAGTTTTCCCGGATGGCCGACGTATGGTCACAGGTTCATATGACAAGACGGTTTGTCTGTGGGACTTGAGAACAGGTGCTATGTTGAAGAAGATGGAGGGACATCGTGATAGGGTGGCGACATTGGCGGTATCACGACATGGGCGATTAATAGCAAGTGGTGATCGGAAAGGAACATTCATCATTTGGCACGGGGAAACTGGCGAACTTCTTACACAATTCACACAAGCTCATTCTAATCGGATCTACACATTGGAATTTTCTCCCGATGGAACAGTACTGGCCAGTGGTTCAGAAGACACCACGACCAAGCTATGGTGCAAGATGACATGGCAGCTACAAGGAAACCCAATAGAGTGTAGAAGTTGCGTCCGCCGCGTTCAGTATTCACCGTCCGGCGAGTTTCTTGCGATTGCAACATACAACGACATTCAAATTTATACGTCAAATACGAGGGAACGTGTAGCACACTTCAAGGGCCAGATTTCATACAACTTTTCACTCCTGTGGACGCCTGATGGCACACGCCTTCTCACAGCAGGAGATGCAAATGATCCGACCATATGGGAGTGGGATACAATAACTTGGAAGCAGGTCGGTGATCCTTGGACGGGACACATATCGGGCATTTCCTCCATTGCCATCCATCCCTCGGGCACACTCGTCGCTTCTGTATCCTATGGCGGGCGTGTTCGTCTCTGGCGACTCTCAGATCGACGAGTCATTGCCATCTTCCAGCTTGGGTACTCATGATGGGTAGGATGCATCATTTTCTCCGTGGACGGCAAGCACATCCTCAGTGGAGCTTCCGACAAGATGATCTCAGCGTGGGCAGTACCCAACGATGCTTGGCCTGAATCAAAGGTATTTTAATGTTAATTTCCTACGCCTTCCCCATCTCATATCGCATATCATTGGATTGCAAGGCTCAAGTCTCTGCAAACCGTAGTATGGCAAACTTGGAAAAATCACTGTGGGAGGAAGTGCTTCTTGACGCGCAAAAGGTATGATGACATCTGTTCAAGCAGTTTCCTGGCCAACGCTCACTTCGACCATACATAGGTAATTGATCTGAACCCTTTGTCGCACGTTGGATACCGGTTGAAACATACTGCGCTTCATGGCGCACAACGCTATGATGAAGCTATCGAGGCCCTCACAACGATGCTTGCCAAATTGGACAATGCTCACGATATGCAGATACGAAGTAAGCTCTAGTAAGTAACATACTGTTTAGATGCTCAACTTTTCTCAGAGCTGCGCGAGCAGTATGTCAGTCCCTCTAAAGCAGATAGTATGATTCAAAAGGTCATAAATGATCAGCTTGACACCGCCCCGCTTCGTCTGCTTGACACCACTACTGGGCTTCTATGTGATCGAGAAACGCAGATAAGCGCTTTCAAAACGACCACAGAGTACAAGCAACTTTTCTTATCGATTATGAAGCATGCGGACCTCTCAAGGGAGATCATCGCAGATGTAGTGGCCAAATACTTTGGTTGCGTCATGTTATCGCATAGATGGGAAGGAAAGGAACCGCTACTGCAAGACATCAAGGACAAGGTCGTGTACCAGTTGGAGGCGACCGGTGGTCTTAGGAAGTTGCAGTTGTTCTGCAAGAAAGCTCGCGAGGCAGGGTTTCACTGGGCGTGGGTTGATTCGTGTTGTATCGACCAGAACAATAATGTCGAGCTCCAAAAATCGCTCAACTCCATGTTCGCCTGGTATTATCACGCAGCGCTCACGATCGTCTACCTCTCTGATGTTCCGCCTTCGTCCAAGTCTGGCGCACTGGCAAAGAGTGCTTGGAACACTCGAGGATGGACTGTCCCGGAATTCCTGGCTCCCAGAGTCATTCTCTTCTACCGACAGGATTGGACTTTATATCTCGACAACGACTCCCACAACCACAAGGAGTCTGTCGAGATCATGCATGAGTTGGAGGATGCGACGGGCGTAGATGCACGCGCCCTCATTGCCTTCCAACCGGGGATGAGAGATGCCCGAGAGAAACTCAAATGGGCATCTACGCGTATCACTACTGTAGGAGAAGACATTGCATACTCACTGTTTGGTATCTTCAGCATCCAGCTGCCTATCCTTTATGGGGAGAATAAGGAAAATGCGCTCGGGCGGCTCCTGCAGGAGATCGTGGCTCGATCGGGCGACATTACAGCCCTCGACTGGGTCGGACAACCATCCACGTTCAACAGTTGTCTTCCAGCCAACATTTCATCATACGCAGCTCCTCCATGTGCCCTCCCATCTTTATCTGAAGACGAGATTCAGATGGCCATCTCCTCCCTGCGTCATCCTGTGACTGTGGAATTGGCTTTAAGTTTTTATGACCGGCTTGACAATATGAGCGCTGCTCGTTTCGCGAACTGCAGACTGCACCTGCCTTGCATAGTGCACCGTGTCATAGAAGTCAGACGGAGGCAGGATCTAGCCCAGGAAACTCCTTTTACGTACGGAGTGAAGGCGGATGGGCTTTGTGACCTATTGATCACCACCCAAGAGGCGCTGGTTCAATTCTCTTGGACAAGGCCCACTCGACAGACATTCTTGCTTGTCCGTCCATGGGATCGTCGTCTTCTCGAGCTGCCTGACTTTGCAGAGCAGCCTGCCTTCGATAACGACGTGGAAGATATGTCCGATCCCGGGACTCCGTTAGATCATTCGCATCGTTCTGCTAGACAAGAGCGGATTGATTCGGAGCGTCACTCACGAGCATTACGATTGATCGTTCGCCTTGGGCAGCCATTCGGTGCATTTTTGCTCGCACAGCAGCGCGGTGGAGAATATAAGAGGATCGCGTCAGATCGTGATATCATTGCACAAGTCAAAGGCGTTGCTTCTGTTCACAATGTACCGGATATTAGGACCCTAGAAATATTGTAGCTATACGTATTCTATTTCAAAGTATAGAGATCCCGCCGGATGTAACTTCAACTTAACGATCTATATCCATCACAGAGACACTACTAGTAGTAGTCCTTGACCGGGGGTCCCGCCACACCATAGAATGGGTTTGGCCAAGAAGCAACGTCATATTCAACCTTGGGTTCAGGCATAAGACTCGCCCGCATAACGGTCTTTCTCGCGAGAGAAGTTAACGGCTGCTTGATTCCAGTGATGATGCAGTTGCTCAGAATTCCGCTTTTTTTGCTTTTCGGTATATTTTGCAAAACCTATCATCTTGCTCGTTGATGAGCTTCTTAAGCGTTTATTTGTCGCACTTGTTTTCTTTGCATTTACTATCACCTACGTACGGTACGGCATCTTGGCCATGAATCTGGATTTTGAATTTGAGTGGGAGCAGGGCTGTGTGTTCTGATGGTCGTGGCGCAGAACTTATAATCAAATGCCCGATTAGATCTGTTGCTACGGGGCATGTTGAATGACATTGACAGTACTAGGGTGACCACGCTCAGGCTGCTTCTCCCAAACACATGAGCCACTCACCTTTCACCCTCTCTGCCTCGTGCCCCAACCCTTGTCGACACCCAAGGCAATGAAATGGCCTTCAAAAGCAAAAGCGTCAAGCGTTTCAGCGTTCGCGGTTTCCTCGCAGCGATCCTGCACCCATTCATGACATCCCCAACCGACGCCCCTGGGGTGTTCACCTTGGGCGATAGCTACAACAACGTAGGAGATTGGCACACGCTGCTCTTGAACAACGAGCTTTCTTCGCAGTGCGAGCTCGAACGCTTGGTCTGCTGCAAATGCACCACCAGCGTCGAACATGAATTCTTGCTCCTCCATTTCCGCCATCCGACGCAACACCACGCTGTCGCTATCCTAGTGTTGGACAGGACATTTCGTCCGGATTCTACAGAGAATAATAATCGCAATGGCTCGTCGAGATCGGTTGGCATTGGCCAATCAACCGTAGTCTCCCCCTCCGTATCTGCAACCCCCGCCCACGATTCCATCTTCACCACCCCCAACAACGGCTCTGCAATCGAATCATACCTCACTAACCGATATGGCCAGCACAAGTACCTTTGTCACCTCGACTTTTCCGCTCCTGCTCGTCCTTCGGCGATGCAAGTATCCGTGCTGTTGTGCGTGCTCCGCAAGCATTCTCCAACTTATCATCTGTGGCAATACCAGTGTTACTGGTATGCCTACACTGTTTGGGAGGCGCTCAAGACGCTTTTTCCTGGGTGCCGGGAGACAACGCTGAGCGAGGGGCGCTCTCGCTTTTGTGGGCAGGAGGTTAGGAAGGCGGAGAGTGTTGAGGCAGTATGTGAGCTGTATCGCGCCGAGTGGGCGCGTTTTGAGAATGCGACGGAGGAGAGGAGGAGGGCGAAGGAGGAGGAGGTGCACCGGGTGAGTGTTCTTTTTTGGGATTGGTTGGGCTGTTTACTTATTTGTTTTTACAGTTGAGGATGGAAGGTTTGGTGGAGGGACGGGCTCAACGTCAAGCAGAGGTTGACGAAGAGAGGAGGCAAAAAGAGGAAGAGAGGAGGCAAAGAGTGGAAGAGAGGAGGCAACGAGAGGAAGCGGAGAGGAAAGTAAACGAGGCAGAGAGGAGAGCAGACGAAGAGAGGAGGCAAAGGGAGGAAGCGGAGAGGGAGTATGAGGCTGAACTGAACCGAATGCGAGCAAGAATGGCCGAGCTCGAGCGCCGTGCAGTGTGATACTGGTGTAACAATTGCTCTCATTTCCTCGTCATCGACATCCTCCTCACTAATAGATCCAGTTGCAATGTACATTACTATTAGAACATATCAGAATTGACCTTCCTGTCTCAGACTCTCGATTGGCATGTAACTTTGACTCTGGACGAAAGTGTTTACTACCGGTAACGCAGATCCTTCCGCTCTCAAGTCAAAGGATACATCAAGGATGCATTGCAGTTGCATTCGTGAACGAGCTGCCGATTGTGGAGCACGCGGCTAGACTTTACAGATCTGACTCGAAGGGAAACCAATGCCATGATTTGTATCGTATTGGCCTGTAGTACGGGGCCCGTCGATCGTACTGACCAGTAATATCCTAGCAGTAAACAAAACCACGCTTGAACGTTGAGCAAGAGCATCATCTCTCGGATAGTGCAATTTCACATCGTGGCTGATCCTTTCATGTCGCCTCAAAGAATATTTTTTATTCTTTACAACGATTTAAATGAGCCCGACCAGCTGCTGAATGCACTCGATAGCCAGAATTTTCTTCAAGGTATAAACATTGGATGTATTCGACACGAGAGCTCCGAGCGATCAACTTGTGCCTAAGTAGATATGGCATATCAATGCAGCGACTGATTGGTGGATATGGTCAATGGAAACGAGTGGATCTGCGAATCTGATGGGCAAGTGATACGTACTATAAAAAATCACGTATCGGATGGGGCTGAGATTAATGGGCGCCGCAGAGGTGGCTGCACTACTGATGGACGAGCTCGAGGTTGGACTGGGGGATACTCTGCGGGAGGAGAGTAAAAAACGGGCTCACGGACGCGATGCTTCAACAGCGCGGGCGAAGGTGACTTGTCCTCTTCCGGATCCTCGGATATAGGGACTGAGACGCCATCTCTTACGGACACGCCCTGGCCTAACGCACTTAGACGTCTCGAGTGAGAAGTAGCTATTGGAGATGCAACATGAGTGGGAGCGGGAGACTGCGATCGTGGCGAAGGAGCGGCGGATGAATTTGGGTGAAAACGAGGTTTCGTAGGTTTAGAAATTCGGGGAGCCGATAATGATACTGCAGAGACGAGATTTTCAGAGTTTGGATCGTGCCACGGGCCCTGACTAACATGGAACCTTTCTCCCGTATCTTCTTGGTGAGGGCGCGTGTGTCCACACCACAAATGGTGGGGATATTGTTTTCTTTCAACCAAGCTCCAGATATCGCCTTGAAGAAATGAGTACGAGAATCAGTGTCGACTGAAGAGAATATACATACCAAACATTTCCGTGTTTGTCAGCGGACCCATGAGCAGAGCAAGGGCGGCATAGCCCTCAATTGGGGATATCAGCAGAGGATGGAGACGCGAGGAAAGGTGATGCAAACTGGTATGAGGAGTTCAACGAAGAGGAACGAGGGCGGATGAGTACTAGTACTTCTTGCTACTCCCGAACCATTGGCGTCCGTGCCAGCTTCCAAGCCGCACTGTATGTATCGCCTCCGGTTCGGAGCTGAACAAGTCATACATTCGTACATGTACATGCGACGTATCCAACAGCATATGGAAAGTGGCTGTTTGTTCACCAGTAGTCCTTGACCGGGGGTCCAATTTGCGCAAGAACTATGAGTGAGTTTATGGCGCAACTGCAGGGCTGGAAGCTGAAGTACATAGTCCTTTTCCCCTTCAGACCCGACCATGGGGCTCTGGTATGGCCATAGGGATAATGTGTTATTACTATGTCTTTGAATTTTAGACGCTTCACTGGTGATCAGAAGATGTGAACTGACATTGCCAGACAATGACCGTCATCTACTCCTACAGAGGCCCCAAATCGGCAACGGCTTCGATAAAAGAGTGAACAAGGTTGGACAGTCGACTTGGCATCACAAGAGGAATCTTCGTGATGCCAAGTCAACTATCCAACTGGCTCGCAGTGAGGCCTGTAACTTAGTCGCGGTATGATGTCAACTCATTGTTTAGGCTTGTTTACCTCGTCTCTAACCCGCTTTGTGTTGCTTTGCTTCAGCCTTCCTTTGACGGCGATGGCTGCTGGATTTACTGAGGGGACAACTATTGTGTTTTGTGGATTTCGTGGCTCGTCAGGTACCTGCATAGTCCACTGGCTGTGTATGGATGACATGGGCAGTATAAATGTGCAGAACCTCGTTAGGCTCATTAGTCCTATTAACAGAAATCAATGGTGAGCATCCCTCTCTGTTCCTCTCTCATCTTCGCCGACAAGTTATCTAGCCTAAATCTATCGCACCCCCGCACGTGAGCTTGCACCTTCCTCCTGACTTCTCATCCTTTGGAGACGCTTGCGTCGAGTCGGATGCCACCAATAATGCCACCGACGCAAAAGGCGACCATACACTCACTACGTTCAGCGATACATCCCTTACCGAAGATCAAATACCTGGTCCGGCTACAAACAAGATCAGTCGCCTTAACCGTTTGCGTTTGAAGGTCAAGCGCCCGTCATTTTCCAAGAATCGGTCGAGCGTCCAGTATAGTCCAAAGGTGCACATCGCTTTTGCATGGTAAGTTGTACTCTTACTGACGGTTTTTGACAGAGTCCGGCTGGGAGAATCTTTCGCTCATCGGAGTCCTCACTAGCTCCTTCTCCTTCATCCCAATCATCTCTTATCGATGCTCTGAAGAACTCCCTGCGATCAGACAAGCAGCGCGCTGCTCAACGTTCACAACCAGATGCTATTATCGAGGTGGAAATCAGAGCTTGTGCAGCTGACTCACGAGAGTCTATCTCCAGTAGTTCGGGTGTTTCATGCGACTACAAACCGGGGCAGTCGGTGATCGTAAAGGATGTTCCTTCCGTTGCCAATGCAGCCACTGGATGGAGGAAACTGCCACCTAGATTGCCAATTCCGAAGTGGGACGTCGATGATTGAGTCCCCCTCCTGCAGAATACTTATCAGTTGTATTATAAGCATGCTGTGTCACTTGTTAATAAGTACCCGACTCCAAAATGCAATGAAAGGTCCAGGGATGAGTACCATTCTTAACAAGAGGGGTCTCATATCCTTGTTCAGACAAACACGAGGCCAGCTGCCACGAAGCCAAAAACTTCCATGTTGTTGGAAAACTGTATAGCTATCAAAAATTATAAAGTTGTCGCAGTCGGTTCGAGGTTCGGGGACTGACAGAATTTATGAATTATTGCGAACATCACCGAACCATTGTTGTATTCCGAAACAAATATATTTCATGAGTAACGGGCTTCTCAGTCAGAGATCTGGTACTGTACAGTTGTATATGAAGTACCAACTCGAATTAGGTTTCAGCGGATGCTCCCACGAATCAGCAATTTCATCCAGTTACTTTGTAGCACATCGTGCAGTGGGACAATCATGAATTCGTGCTCAGCGCTAGATATGAAATTGACAAGGAATCAAAGAATTAAACAGTACACTCGATATTGCAGCAATAAAACTATCGTTACGTGGAGCTAGAAGGCTCGATGTTAGCAACTGCGAGGACGAATGGTAAATACTAAGAACTCACGCATCTCGGCAACTCGACCAGTGTGTCCCATGCGCCATGCAACTCAAATCAAGCTCGACACCTCCTCTTGGGATCACCAATGAAGTCAAAGGAGTATAAAATGCATGTCGGGAAGCGGGAGGTACCCAGAAAAGGAGCCGACGATCGGAGCCCATCACCCATCCATCAACCTGCAGCAGGAAAGGGGTCGAATTATAATTAAGGTGAAGGGTACGTTCGGGCCAGTCAGGGTTGGGCAGGGCGTGTTTCAGGCTGGATGAGAAGCAAATGAGGTGATCATTACAAGCGCCGGTTGGCATGATATAGCTTTCTTCGGTGAGAGGTATGGCGTTTCGATGCAGCGAGAATGCGGAGGGATCTGGCTCTGTAGATTCGGGGGATGACTGCAGTTTCACGACACTCCAAAAACGGACAGTCTTATCGAAAGAACCAGACGCGATGCAAGTACCGTCAGGTGAGAACGAGACTGAGTGAACCCAACTAGTATGCCCCTCCAATGGCTCACCCAATGGCTGTCCCGTCGCTACATCCCACAGCCGCACAATCTTATCGTGCGAACCAGACGCGATGCGAGTACTATCCGGTGAGAACGAGACTGAGCAGACCGCTCCAGTGTGCTCCTCCAAGGGCTCACCCAGTGGCCGTCCCGTCAATGCATCCCACAGCCGCACAGTGTTATCCTGCGAACCAGACGCGATGCGAGTGCCATCCGGTGAGAACAAGACTGACAAAACCCAATCAGTGTGCCCCTCCAATGGCTCACCGAATGACTGTCCTGTCACTACGTCCCACAGCCGCACAGTCTTATCGAAAGAACCGGACGCGATGCGAGTACCATCAGGTGAGAACGAGACTGAGTGAACCCAACCAGTGTGCCCCTCCAAAGGATCACCCACTGGCTGTCCTGTCACTGCATCCCACAGCCGCACAGTGTTATCCGATGAACCAGACGTGATGCGAGTACCATCCGGTGAGAATGAGACTGAACAGACCGCTCCAGTGTGCCCCTGCAAGGGCTCACCCAATGGCCGTCTCGTCGCTGCATCCCACAACCGCACAGTATTATCCTCCGAACCAGACGCGATGCGAGTGCCATCCGGTGAGAACGAGACTGACAAAACCCGATCAGTGTGCCCCTCCAAGGGCTCACCCAATGACTGTCCCGTCCGTACATCCCACAGCCGCACAGTCTTATCGAAAGAACCGGACGCGATGCGAGTGCCATCCGGTGAGAATGAGACTGACCAAATCACTCCAGTGTGCCCCTTCAATGGCTCACCCAATGGCTGTCCCACATCCCACAGCCGCACAGTATTATCTTCCGAACCAGACACGATGTGAGTCCCATCCGGTGAGAACGAGATTGTGTGAACCCAACTAGTGTGCCCCTCCAAAGGATCGCCCAATGGCTGTCCCGTCGTCGCATCCCACAACCGCACAGTGTGATCCGATGAACCAGACGCGATGCGAGCACCATCTGGTGAGAACGAGACTGAACAAACCGCTCCAGTGTGCTCCTCCAAGGGCGCACCAAACGGCTGTCCCGTCGCTGTATCCCACAGACGCACGGTGTTATCCTCCGAACCAGACGCGATGTGAGTACCATCCGGTGAGAACGAGACTGAAAAAACCGTTCCAGTGTGCCCCTGCAATGGCTCGCCCAATGGCTTTCTTGTCACTGCATCCCACAGCCGCACAGTATTATCGTGCGAACCAGACGCGATGCGAGCACCATCTGGTGAGAACGAGACTGAACAAACCGCTCCAGTGTGCTCCTCCAAGGGCTCACCCAGTGGCCGTCCCGTCAATGCATCCCACAGCCGCACAGTGTCATCCTGCGAACCAGACGCGATGCGAGTACTATCCGGTGAGAACGAGACTGAAAAAATTGCTCCAGTGTGCCCCTGCAAGGGCTCACCCAATGGCTGTCCCGTCGCCGCATCCCACAACCGCACAGTGTTATCATCCGAACCAGACGCGATGCGAGTACCATCCGGTGAGAATGAGACTGACAAAACACAATCAGTGTGCCCCTCCAAGGGCTTACCCAATGGCTGTCCCGTCCATGCATCCCACAGCCGCACAGTCTTATCGTGCGAACCAGACACGATGCGAGTACCATCCGGTGAGAGCGCGAGTGAGGAAACCGCTCCAGAGTGCCCACTGATTACGGTCTGGGCAACCATCCAGTTCAAATCACGGCCAAATGCCAGATGAAGGTTGTTCGGAAACCTTGCAGTAAAATTCGTAGCCATAGTGGAGTTGCTGGGTGAGAATGGCAGCGCTGATAAATACAAATGCGGCGTGCTGTGCAAAATCATGCCGCCAAACACTTGAATGAATCTTTGTACATCCATCGTGGTGGACTGTAAATCTTTGTATTCAAAATGGCCCTGTTTGTATTGATGAGTTGTTCGTCCGACATTGCCTCATATATGTGCTCACCTTCAGCCACTTGGCAACGAGTGGAAGCACAATAATAGCACCTCTGATTGCATTGAGAAGTCCGAGTGCTTCAATCCAAAATAGCAGTCTCTCGTCGTCGAAGAATGATCTAATTGCCTTTGCAAGCTCATCGTCGAAGTCCGTTTTTTGAACATGTGTAGCCCAATATCGACAGGAATAGGAGAGATGTAAGGGAATGGATGTTTTGATTCGTTGAGGCAGTCCGATATCTTCGCAATTAGGGAGGTATGATGACTCTAAATCACACATATTGAAGCGGAGGCCATGTTCCATCACTCGAAGTGACGCCAACGCTAAGTCGTGGTGTTGCATCTTCGTCACCTCGACGAAAAAGTCCCTGCTGAATGATTTGTCTGTGAGAAACTCTCGGAAGGATGCGTGAAGGGGTCTGATTGGGATACATGAGTCCGTTGTGCCACTGAGGAGAGATCCCATACGTCGTACGATGTCCAGTTTGTGATGTGTATTGCGGTTTGGAAAACAGTCCCGCATGGCGTTGAGGGAATCGAACGGGAGGGGTTCAGCCGTGCTGAGTATTTGTCCCATCACGGAATGAAATTCCGCTAGTGCTTCCTGGTACTCGACATCGCTATACTCATGTCGTGGCCAGATTTCTGCCAAAATAAGCCGATACATATCATACAGTTTGTCCGTCCATTTCCCAGGATCGCGGTTCACAACAGTTTCAAAGCGAGACCTTGGGCTTACACCGGGAAGATCTTTCATAATGTATTCACATGCAAGACGTGCCCACTCGAAAAGTCCGTCGGCTTTCGCAGCGAGATCTGTAAACTCTTTGTTCCCAAAACGCGGCAGCCTTTGTAGCTTGTCAGATACAAATATAGATATGTCGCGTTCCGCCACTGCTGCTGGAATCTTGTCCATGGATAACTGTAGAATATGCTGAGCGCCGTGAAATGCATCTTCGATATCATGAAGTGGGCGAGAGGTAACGAGAATCCGAAAGTTGGATGGGAGTTCTGTGATCTTTGGAAGGCCTTTGTTCTGAAGTGTGCCAGCAAGTATGCGGAGAAGGTCTTGTCGCGTCTCTACTGCGCCGCTCTCGTCCAGCGCCTCGATCACGATCAAGACAGGTCCCACGCTCGACCTAGAGAATTTCTTCAGTGGTTCCACGAGGAGCTTCTCCCACTGCTGGAGAATATCTCTGGAGTTCTTGAGTGATGTGGAATTTTTGACCGCACCCGCCAAAGATCGTTTCATCTCTGGATCCCGATCAGCTAGGTCACGAGCGATGGTGGAGAAAACTTTTTCGTGGTGTTTCTCGGCTTCTTGGGCCTTGTCGAAGCAGAAACATGAACCAAGCACTCCCATATCGTTGGACCACTTGGCAATCGTGTGAGCGATAGTCGATTTGCCCGTGCCTGCGGGCCCAGATAGCCACAGCACACGTTCAGCAGCATCTCCACTGCTGTTGATCCAATCCGTAATCTGGCAGAGAATCTCCGTCCGCGTCAGTGGTAGGCACTGTTTACTGGTATTCAGCCCTACGCCCTTTGCATAAGCTATATCCCCGAGATCCAGGGTATCGCCTGAAAGGGTGTGAGTGAATGTAAAGACAAAAGCGTGTCAGAATTCTTACTCGTATGTTGGACAAAGACGGCCACATCTCGATCAACTTGGTCCCGGAATTTTTGCATGAGTCCGTCCAAAGTGTCGCTGTAGTTCTTAATGATGACATCGGTTTCCGAGAAAATGGTTTTCCCAAGTCTCTTTCCTATGATGATAGCATAAGATTCCATGTACGAAGTGCGATAGCTTGGCGACTCACGAAAGCTCTTTGTCCCAGAGTAGTCCCTGATGAAACGAGCACACTCAAGAATCTGCTGAACGATCTTTCCAACGATATCGCGCATCGATTCAATTTTTCGAAGAGTGTCATCTTGAGTCATAAAGCGGTAAACTTCAGCCAACTTCTCCAGAAGGCGACGGACTGATTGATCACGATTTGCTTGAGCGATGATAGTCTACATGGAATTATGACTCCTGAGCAAGAGACAGAACTCCGGGAGAAACCGAACGTACTTTGGACGCAGCAGACAGCACACCCAACACCATTTTTGCGTACGGATGTACCTACACAACTTGATTAGTTCGCTTCCCATGGACGAGAATGACACATACATCCGTAATCTTCTCAAGGACAGCGTCGATAATCTTTAGGGGTTGGAGATATGTTGTCTCAAAATCATCCATAGTGGTGAGACCTACTGAGGCATTGCTGGTTGCAGATGCCACAGAAATTGTGTGTCCCCCGAGTAATCTCATGCTTTCCATACCCTTACGGGCACCCTGAAGTTCGGCATCAACTAATTGGGGATCAGGACCTTCCTCCATACCAGAAGGAGCAGTCTCAACCTGTGCAACCGCCGAGATTTAAAAAAGGAAAAGTAAATCATCAGATTGAAATACCTGTATAGTGGGTACTGAAGCGCCTTCAAGTTCGACGTTCTGGGCCACAATGGTGTGGTTGCTTTTTCGCTTGAATGGTTTCTGCACGAACTCAGTCATTCAGGACAATCAGCATTCACATCTACGCACAGGAAGTTTTTTTGCTAAGCCATTTTTCAACTTCCGCAGGGACTGACAGACCCCTCTAAGAGGTTCGGCGCTCTGGACGAAAAATACATGAGGGCTGCCAGCCATGAATTACAAAAAAACACGTACCTGGCTTGCACCAACATTTGCTTGGCTGGATCTTTTGGCTTCTGGAGGAGGATCGGGCCTATGGTCTGCACTCATCGCGAGTGGTCGTAGATTTGAATTGAGTCAGTGTGAGAGAAACGATGGAGTACACTGTGAAAAAGGAATGGACGTTTGATCCTTTCGCAGGATCCGAGTCGAAGCACAGCCAACACGTCACGGTTAACTTGAAGTGCTGATCCTTCAGCCCAAATTCAACCACGCAATTCCTGTCAGTTCGGCCAGTTATTATGTGCGGGTCACAGCGCAAGATAATAATGGAGCATCGAGAGAACCCGGTCTACTCCAGAGTCGAATTGTACAACAGTACTTTCCGATAAATATTAGGCCTTCCATCATCAAAGTTGGCTGGGCCCGGAGCCTACATTCTTATTTGGTGGCATTCAAAGTGTCGTTCCAGCTGTTCTAACTTCAAGCATACGACGAGACCGGTGTATGGGATGAGACGAATATCATAGTAGAACTGCGAGGGCTGCAGTACAAGTTTGCGCCGTGTGTGACTAGTGACCGTGACGTTCATCCGATCAATGCATCACGTGGTGCCAAACTGTGTCACCGCCCAGCTGCAGGCTGCCACCACCACCGTACGTTGTATCTGCACTCTTGCACGCCACCATGTCTTGACTTTGTCTCATACCCCAACACTTTTCGTGTCAGTCTCTATCTCGACATTTATTATTTATTTAGTTGAGAGTAATTCAAATTCAATGTGTTTTGTAGGATTTTCGTATTGATCTGCCGAGGCCTACACAGTCACGGTGGCCTGCGCACGTCTCACCAGCTTTATCTGACGATTCTGACCCATCATGTGGTATTTACTCGCAGTCCCCTGTGAGTCCTAGTGGAGACTCAGATACATCAGTGGCCTCAGATGCTCAAAAGGTGTGTCATACAACTTTGAGTTATTGCTGCCCTTGCTATCAACAGACATCGAAGGCTCATGCACATGACGGGAGGCCCACAACAACCGCGTCATTGATGTTTGTTTACGCGTCTCAACTGCCAAGCTTTCGCTGTTACCCCTTTGACTGGATAATGTCTAATTTGCATGCGCTGTGGAGAGGGGACAACCATTGTGGTCTGTGGCCTTGGTGACTAGTCGGCACATGCACAGGTCAATGCTTGTGGACGGACGATATGGTCAGTATAAATGTACAGAACATCGTCAGGCTCCTCACTGCTAACCCGTCTGTAATTCAATGGTGGGCATCGATCTTTCCTAGTATTCTCTCTTCGCTGACCAGTTGTTTAGCCTAAATATACCATATTCCCGCACATGAGCCTGCGCTTTGGCCTCTATGAGGACGAACGCGTCGAGAATAACACTGACCCGGAAGACGAGCACACACTCACCGCTTACGGTGATCTCTCCCTCAGCCCAGAAGAAAAGCTTGGCTTTCCTCCAAACGATCTTCGTCGCCGTAATCAATTGCGTTTGAAGGCGAGACGTAAGAGTCCTCAGTACAGTCCACCGGTGCGCATCGTGTTTGCATAGTTAGTTGTACTCTTATTGACGGTTATACGACAGATTCTGGACGAGAAATTCTGGGACCCACTGACGTTTTCACAAATTTTGACTCCTTTAACGCCTGCCGAGTTTTTCAATAGATTTAGACATTCTGTACGACGTGCTTTTCAGCTTGCACAAGCAGAAGCTGCTGGGGCCGACGCCCGATCTCGTGCAGCTGGCCCAGGAGAGTCGACCTTTAGTGACTCGAATGCTTCATATGATTCCGAACTGGTGCAGTCGGTGGCAGTAAAGGATTTTCCTTCTGTTTCTGAAACTTATGATCTGATCGAGGAATGGAGGAAACTGCCTCTGAGACCTGGAATTCCGAAATGGGATATCGGTGATTGAACGTAGTTGTATTAAGCATGTATGTGTTACATCGACAGAAAATTCAATACAAGGGTGTATTATGCGTGTGCTAAAGAGGTCTCGCAGATGCGGTGAGGAGAAAAGGGAAAAAATTGGAAAGACTTGTTGATGCGCATGCGTATGTATACTACATAAGATGAAGTGGGAAATGATGTGTGAACAGAAAGCACAACCAGAAACAAAATCACCTCGAAATCGTAGATTCAATTCGATATCAAATGTCGGAGGGGGAAAAAGCAACCGCCCGCCAAATCCCCAACACACAAAAGCTTAATCCAGAGGGACCAAAAAACTCGCCAGCGCCCAGCCCACTTCTCCTCTGACTTTCGCATCTCTGCCTCCTCCCTCAGCATCAACAAGCTCCCGAACTAGTAGCAAGCAATCCTCCCCGTCATCCACATATAACGGTAGATCTGGATGGGTGCTGGGGTGCCCATACTCTCTGAGCACATCAAACGTATCTCCAGATCGCAACTCGAAGAACGGTAAACCCCGATACGATACTCCAGCAGGTGGAATACACATGTGTATTGCAGCGCATTGGTAGAGCGCGCGTAGCCCTTGCAAGTCCGTGGTGCGGCGAGTGGGGGTATGCGGTGATTGAGTTCGAGTTGGGGTGGGCGGCATTTGGTATGCAGGCAGCGCACTATCTGTGGTATAATAACTTGGTGCCAGTGAGCTCGGAGCTCCGAGGCTCTTGACAGAACTTGATCGCGTCCTGTGGTGTGATGGCCGGAATGTATCTGTGATCTTACTTTTTAGGCTTGGTCGTCTCTGCTGGACACGCCCCCGGTCTCTGTCGTTGTCTTCCTGCTCTTCATCGAACGTAGCGAACGACGACGGGCTTGGTGGGGGATCAAGTCCAAAGGGTATGTTGCTAATTATCGGCCCAGGCAGACTCTTCATTCGTGTGGGCTTGAGGCGCGGTGGCGAGACGCCACTGCGAGACTGCGATGGCAGTTGTAGGGCAGAGGGCATAGGTGGTACATCCTCGACCATCCTCCAGGTATTCGCACCAGGACTAAGGTTACTCTTGTATGACTTGCCCGACTTCCCAGATTTACCAGAACGCAGTGACTCATCGGAAAGTTTGCGGACAATAGGACCGGTGGGGATATTGTTCGTACTCCCACTGCGCCGTCGACCAGTGATATCGTAAGAATTGGGGTGCGAGTGTGACGCACGCGACGCTGGATTGAACGAGGAAGACGATGATTGTGAGCTGCGGTGGTCATAAGAGTTCTGAGAACTGCGAGGCTCGTAAGAACCTTGCGAGTTACGGATGTCGTAGGAATTCTGTGAGCTGTGAGGGTCATTTGATCGGTAGTGTGTGTCGTATGATCCAGAACCAGACGAATGGCGCGCATCATACTCCTTCTCTCGCGCATACTTCGCTTCATCCCTCCTAGACCGACCATCATATGACTCCTTGGGCGCATATCGGGCATCATACGACCCCTGGTGCTGATGCTGCCTTGGACGCGTAGGTGATACTTGCGAATCGAGGGGGCCAATCATAGCAGCAAAGTTTGTTGGTTTTGCACCTTGCTGTGGTGGAGTACGATGTTGCACTTGCTGCGGTACTTGGTACTGTGGAATCACAGGACGCAGCCGCTCCATCTTTCTAGGCGGATTGACAATCGCCAATGACCCAAGCACGCCCAACACATCACCCCATCGCTCACGCCAGACACGAACTGTCTCGCCTCCACCCGCTGGTCGGTCCGCATGCTCCATATTGTCTCTCGTTGCTCCCGCACCTCCAGCCTCAAGACCCTCCCCCTCCACCTGCAGCGCATCCCACAACTCTCCCCACCGCTCCATTACAACTCTCCAAAATGCATCCATCGCCCTGGCTAAGTCAAGCACCACCCCATCAATTCCACGCTCCAGCAGCTTTACATACACAGGCAACTCCAGTGCAAGCTGCCCCCGCAACGCAACGTAGCTCTGGCTTGCCTGTAGCAGCGCCTCTGGCGGGCGGTTCTTGCGCGTGATTGGGAGATGCAGTAAGTGCATATGTAGCGGCTGCAGAGTGTGCAGTGCACTGAGAAGCTTGAGTGGCGCAACCGATGTGCCTTTAAGAGATTGGAGAGAGGGAAGGATGTGCGCATGGAGTTCGTGCTCAAGTTCTTGTACGAGATCAACTAGTCCGGTACAGAGCGAGAGGAAGGCATCGAAGGCTTCACTTTGGCCGGTTCCCAAGGTGTCTGATGAAGAAGGGGGAGTGCTATTCAGACTGGAATTGTTCTGGGACAGTTCAGGGCTGACGGTGACGCCAATGACGCCTGAAAATGCCCATCCCCACTTGACGAGCGCTCCAAACAGCGTATGGAGAGTCCGGGCATAGCCGAATGCGTCCCGAGCGAGATGGGAGAGCGTAGTGATGTGCGACTTGAGCCTGCTTTCGAGGGCTACAAGGAGGGCAGCTTCGGCATTTTCGGAGTCGGGTTCTATTTCTGAAACGTGAATGGAGCCTTTTTGTTTCGAGGGTGACTTGGCGGATGAGGCAGGGGGCTTTGGAGTGCGTAGAGAACGCATGCGCGAGACGGAGGCGTTTACCACGCCAACCTTGGGTATGCCGATGGATCCTACACCACCTGCTCCAGGGCCGTCTTTGGCGTGTCCAGATCCGAGGACCTCTCTGACGACTTCTACCCGCCTTCGTCCCTCGTTCACAGCACGAGCTACTTCTTCCACCTTCTGCTTCGCCTCTCTCAGTTTATCGAGCCCTTCAGTTCCCTCCCTCAGTTTCCCAAAGGCCTCACCTATGCTCTCTGAAGTTACAATAACGAGCGGCTCCGGAGTAGCACTGATCACGGCGCCCAGTAGTAACCCGTACTTCAGCAACCGCTGAACCGGCTTTATTAACAAACTCGGTAGGTCCCAAGCATGCGTGTGTGCCTCAACGAGTTCTTTGCTCTCCTTGAGCCACCGCGAGAATTGAGGCGTGAGCTGCGGTGGTGTATTGAGGGCGTCGAGGTGTGCGAGTGCGCGAGGGTGTGCGGTGATGTACGTCGTGTATGGGGGCGCAAAGAGGGGCACCTGAGTGACGTTAAGCATCAGTGTGAAGTCGCACCTAATATCGAGAGATTAAACTCACCACCTCCAGGAAGATTTCGCCTACGCCCTTGCCTCCTTCTTCGATGGCTATCTCGAGCTTTGACACGAGCATGTCAGAAAGGACAGCGAGTTCAGAAATGTTGCGGAAAATAATACGTGTATCAGCGACAGATAGTGGAGGCTCGCCCACCGGGCGTAAACTTGGAAGCTGTGTTGGAACCTTAGAATCAGTCAGAGGACCTACTGAATGAGCATTTAGTGAATTGGATGACCATAGAGAGTCATGGAAGGACCTATTTGGGTAAATGTAGGTACATTCAATTGAATAGAAGGCACGTTGAGCTGTATTGTCGGTGGGCAAAGGCTCGAAACGGATACGTCGGAAGTGGAGATGGTGCTAACTGTGCGTGAAGACAAGGATGAGCATGTACCTGAGCTCGACTTGGTGGATTCGGAACTTGAGCTAGACCCAGGGTTTGAAATTTCTGAACCCGAGACTGGGCGTGTGCATGAGAAACCGAATGACGGAGGGTGACCTGGGATGGATTAGAATACTTTTCAAAGGGCTTAAAAAGTCGAAGGACTCACCAGACGCCAACCTCATATACACATCCCTGATGAGTGCTAAATCACTTGCATAGGCACGTTCAGAGGTCAGAAGTTCGAGCAGAGCATGTTGGCGTTTCGTGATGGCTGGTGCGGGTATAGGGGGGGCTGCGGTCGAATCTTCCTCTGAGCGTTGTTGACTTGACATCGCACTCCGATCCTCTGACAGCTCAAGGCGGTTATCAGTTCGTAGTCTTGATTTGATAGGTAGGGAGAGGGGTAGAGTGGAAGGAGGGAGGGGGAGCTCCTTGTCTTTAGGGAAACGAGTGGATTGTATAAGAGTATGAGCCGATTCCATGGTAGGAGTATGGCCGGCGTTAGGTGTATCAGCACCGACGGAATCGGTATAAGCAGCGACGGGTCCGGTATAGCTGGTGTATAAGGCAGTAGCGAGGGTATCACTAACGAGGTGTTCTGCTTCCCTTTCTCTATCGAATTCGTCCTCGAATTCGTCAACAACTCCAAGAACGGAGTTGAGATCAGGTGTGGAGCCGAGAGCCTCCAAGAGTTGTGATAGAGATGAAAAGCTAGGAGTGCGAAGGACGGGAACCATCTCTGACTCTGGCGCTAAATGGAGGGTTGGCAACATCTTTGGCAGCTGTTGGCGCGTGGCAGGAGGCGCTGCGATAGGATGTGATGATCCAAGGTTTAATCCAAACGTTGGTTCTAGCTGTGATTGCTGTAGATCTAGACCTTCTTGTTCTCTTGATCGTCGTCTAGCTTCTTCCGCTATCATGGAATTACGACCAGGTCGAAGTGCTGATCTTGGTGGTGGTACAAGTAGCGTAGTACTAGGCTCCTCTGGCAGACGGTGTGATGGTCGTGGTTTCGATGTCTGTTGTAACTGCTGGTTATTAATGGATGCGTGCTCGTTGCGTCCGCTAGCCTCGAGGTTCCCAAAATCTAAATGCTCCGTCTCTGAGCTTGCAATGTCCGTCATTCTAATTTAGTTGCCAGCCAGCCTTGAGGCAGTCGTAGATCCGTTTAAACGTCAACTTATTACTTAGCCACGCTAAGTATGGGCCTGGGCTGTCGAGTTGCCTGTTACACTCGTGTTCGCAACCTGTCCACTGCGTTTATACCATCAACATTAGCATCGACCTCCATGTTGACCATCACGATCAGCGAGGGCGCTTGGGCGCTTGACTTGCCTATCTTGGTCTGCCTTCTTCGTGTGTCCTTCGTGTGGTTCCCTTGCCGATAATGTCACTATCTTCCGAAGTGCCAGAACGTGGTTAAGGAGAAAGTCAGTAATTTCGACTTCTCTGTCGCTCCCTTTATTCAATTGCCAGCTCACCATTTGAAACTAGGCTTCGCGACGAGCCAAATTTGCTGGACTCCACAAGTTGTAACCGCCCAACAGGTTCACATCGTTGACCAGCCCGTCGCCATAAGTTTCAAACCCCGGCTATGCGTGCTGGCCGTTCTACGCTTGACACCGCCTGGTACTACGTGCAGGGACGTCCGCACACGGGATACCAGAATCAAGTTTAGTCTGCCTGCTCTTGCCTGCTTCTTCCAAGATCACCGTGGCAATGTGTTCAAGTCTTCCGAAACTTACACTGACATCGATCACGCGCACAATTGCCGTGGGCTATACTATTAATATGCACCTCGTTGCTCTGGGCGGTTCACCTATGGATGTGTAGATTCAAAACCTGACCTAACGGAACGCCCCGGGCTGGCCATTTTCGCCTTCGACGATGACACTAACCTCCTCGAACTTTGAAGCACTCTGATCGACACCCCTCGCCACCCACACAAGAGTACTCGAGAACACAGATAGCCCAGCTGTGGTATGTAATTTTGCAGTTTTTCTTTCTAATACAACTTTTGATGAGCACATCTTGACGCGTCTTGCTGCCCAACTGCAAGTCCGTAGCGGCCGCTCCCTCCCACATACAGACATCTTTGACTGGCTTGTCCAGCAACTCCTTACCATTTGTCAGTCAACAACATTCTATTTCTTGTCACCAGCCTGCGCGCAAATGGTCTGGACTGTTGCTCTATACGTTTTCGGCCTTGAATTCCTCACACCTCAGATGATGGTGTTTGGCGCCTCAAATATTTGTGAACACTCAGCATATCAATGCATGTGTGTGACAATGGCTTTTCTGCAGCAGGTTGATGGCAACTGTGTAGAAATCTGTTTCGTCACTCACTATTGTCCTGTCAGTACATATGCACTGCATATCTGTGCTACTTCGGTAACCCACTTGCTGCGCGCCTATACTTGTCTGTGCGCGTTTTCTTTGGACTCGTTCCCACTCGTCCATGTGCATTTCCGTTTATTCAAACTTGTTTGCATCAGCCGGTACTCATTTTTTTTGGTTCATACTTGCTGCTACTTGTTGCAGATTATCTACAGTCTTTGGGATACTACTCAGGTCTAAACATACACGTATTCGAGATGTACTTCCATCAATCCAACTCTTCCAGCCATTAGTATCTCTGCGATCCCTCTTCTCTCTCTCCCTTGAATCAATTTAATTTTCGGGTGAACCACACACCTTTAAATTGATCGCCTTGCTATCGGAGCTGTTCAAATGAAGGCGTCGTAAGCGTGTACATTGTAGGTGAAGACCAGGACTGCATCCACTCATGGTCACACTCTCCGTGATGTTATTGAAGTACGTAGACATGAATCTTTGAATACATGTGTTGTACCCTGTTTCGGGGTACGGGAAAAGCTCATCATTCAACTTGTTGGTGATGAGGGTATGAGGAACGAACTGCATAAGCGCGCGGCACTATGGTATGAAAATTCACATCACACTTAGCACAAGGACGTTTGTATCCAGCTACGCTTTCTTGAGATCTCCGCTTATGCGAATGATGAGGAAGATGTGCTTATGATGAATGACTTACTTTGCCATATCGACTCTTGAGGTCCTCCGAAACATGTGGAGCCGCTTTGTTGGGCTACTGCGTAACGAAGCAGCTCCAGTTCGCATCGTTAGGTTGCGAATCGGAGTGCACTGTTGCTCCTGAATCCTGCATTCGAGGGTCTTGGATATTGTATTACGAACAAGAGGTAAGGTGGCGTACCTGTCTCTACAGGCACCCCATTCACCTCAATTTGACGAGCAGTTTTCATGGACCATTGCGTGATGAAGGGGTTCGCATCGTGAAGATGTAAGTCATTCAACTCACCTGTATCTACAGGGACCCCATTTTCTTGTGGTAAAATTGCATCAGCCATAACATAGAAATATGTGTCACACTGATGAGGCTTGTTCTAAGTTCCATGCGGAGACTGGCTGAATTCGATGGAAGGCATTAAACAAGTTTCTAGTAGAGGTCTGCCTAGCTTATCTCCAGCCTGGCAGCATACTGCAAGGGTATGAGGACTCACATGGGCCACGGCTGCTGGTAAGATGTTCGTTGAGCTTGACATCCTCGAGTACATATACACTGGTTAATCTGGGGTTAAGCATCCAGTATACGGCGAGACAGCTTTTGTCACAACTCGATTGATCAATTATGTTTAAGCCATGGCTAGAAGTAGCTGCCCACTGAAATGCGTGAACACGAGGAGCCCATATGTCAGCGGCGTGTTCTATCTGAGTAAAAATAAAATTCCTACCTTGGACTCAAACCCCTTAGTCCCGCTTCGAGTACCCTCCCGGAGTACAATTCCAGGCGTGAGTGAAAGAAGTTTGTTCGTTACGAATGGACCCTTCGACGATTGCGCAGAAAAGGCTGCGAATGTTTTGCCGTTCGATCCGGCGTTTACCGTCCACGCTCGTAGAATACAAGAATCCAACTCCTGTCAGGAGTAAAAGACGTTTGTTATCTATAAGATCCGGGTATCCCTGGACGATTGGGCAGAAGGCGCTATCGCTAAGCGTTCTATCTTTTGATTCGATGATTACGGCCATCTGCTAGAGCTTAGCACAGTCGAATACGAGATGCATACCATGGGCAAAACGACTTGATAACAATTTTGACGTTATATGTATGTATTACTTGTCGGAACGATTTCGGGTCCATGTCCACGAGGGACAGAACAATGTTTTACAATGCCAGCACACGGAGCCGATTGTCGGATACTTGCGATCAACAGGGGGAGCGTTTAGCAGAGTGAGTCGAGTAATTTGAGTGGGAAAAGCTGGCCACGAAATGCGAGGTCTTCGGATCGCAAAATATCAAAAGAAAAAGTCATTCCCACCTAAAAAGAAGAGGATCATCAGCAGTAAGACACGAGGCTGGTTACTATGCATGTGATTGTGGTCATCCGCGGATGCGCAAGCGTGGAGTATTTTTGTGGATGCAAGTGATCAAACAGTATAAATTGAACTTTCCCTGAAGCTAATCTGAAAGGAAAAGGGTTCCGGGGTTCCACGGAGTCACGGACGCCTGATGATTAAGTTGCAAACCCTGATATTTTTCACGCAGTAGGAGCGCCGCTGGACAAATAAATCTGAGTTCTTTTGGAATATATCATGTGTGTCAGACCTATCAAAGCTTACCTGGCAGACCGTTGTACCCAAAACTGTTTACCTCACCATGATAATCCCTCGGATGTCATGTACATCAGATGTCGCATCATGCGAAGCTTAGAACCGCACACGCGGATATACGGCAAGGCAGCCACATATGCGATGCTGTGTGGCTGACTTCTTGATTAGCGGAACAACCCGTGGTTTTAGGTGCGCAATTTTCAAGAGAAAAATATAACGGGTACCTTTGAGAATCGAACCCAGGGGACAAGGAGGTGGTCGTGTACTTGCCTAGACCATAGATCCATACCAATGGTTAAGGTCTTCAGGTAGAATGGGATTTAAAACTGGAGTACAACAAGAAGATCAACGACCAGTTGGTGCTCCAATCTGGCAGCTGACTGCATTGGGATCAAACACATACATATGGGTCACGATGTCACCTTGTCGCTTTGGTGCTAGTCAGTGCTGAGACAAACGGGGAATACCGACGGGAGCGGCGCCTCATGCCGCTGAACTAGTAACAGCATCCCGTGCCCTTGTGTTTCTCTTGGTGCCATACAAAGGAAAAAATTCAAATCGGCCGTTCCCGGTGCCTACCGATAGAGAAGCACTCGGAGAGAAGATCTTGACAGGGTTAAAACAGATGTCATTGGTGGATACTAGCCATGAGATATGATCCAGGGGGCGACGATTGTTCCGGGACCTGTGTCAGTCAATCCCAACTTGAAAGCTGCATAGGTGGATAGTGCAGATAAGATCATATGTGCATGTGACACTGTCTGTCACGGTGATAGGTCGGAGGCCCTCGCTTTGGGATGCACCAACTTTCCGAAAGAATCCTACATAGTAGCAAGAGTTAATGTTTTTCATGGTGGCGTTTCATTGTGAAAAGTCTAACAAGCAAGAATACTTAAAATATTAGTGTCTTCTCTTCTAGTTGATGTAGGCTACTTACACTTCAAAGCACCTGAAGTACATTAATGACAATGATACGTGACACCGAAGCGATCTAGGTCGGAGGTTGAAATCAACTTTCTATTGCGCGTGGTTCGAAAAATCAACGGAAGAACATTGTCCGACGCAGTACGTGACAGCACTAGCCAGCTCGCCGGAATATTCGCTTTCGCTGTGTCTGGTGATTTGGGGATATTTCCTGCTGAAATCCCATAATACATCTTCAGCTCAGTTTCCCTCAGTCCACACTGCACAATATTTGGTGGGTATGGGACTAGCCTAGGCCACGGCCGGGCCGCCGCATCAGAGAACTAGTGAGAAAGTTATATTGTCTTACATACTACTTATTACACGACAATATATGTGCGCAGAGAATGTCCTTCCAGCATCGACGGAAAAACGTCATATTCCCAATCGGTTCGGAAACAGCCGACAGGGTCCTTCGGTGAATGGGTTTAGGGTTTTGGTGTACCCCAAGGCCACGAGATCTGGGGTCCGAAGCTTCCTACCCCCCGCTAGCCACAGCCCGACCGTAAGCTACCTTCCTGGTGAGTCACAGTTACCGTATGCAGCTGGCCGGTCATCGGACGGTTGCAGTCGTTCTCTCCCACTGGGTATATAATAGGTTTAGTAAACGTCACCGGTGCGGTTTGGGTAACGGTAGCCCCCTAACGAGAACTTTCGCAGATTCGAAACCACTGCCATCCCCACCATCCTATCATTCCTCTTCCCCTAGCTAACAGACCCTTATACTAGGAAACCGTTACCTGCAGCAGGCGCTAAGGGCATGGTCTGCCTCGCGAGGCTCTGCTAGATGCGTTGTCTTTGGCTTCACTTGTCCAAGCCGGTCGCTATTATTTTCATCGCTAAAAACAATATATTACGTCGTCAATGCCCCCGGGACACGATCAACGTAACACATAAGGACTTCTCGGTTCTCTGATAAGTAGTGAGTACTTAGCAAACTAGTCAGGAATCAAAACCATCATATCTGGAGCAGCCGTTCAGACTCCTTCTGCGCTGGGTCCCTTGTGCAGACGACCCGATAATCCTTTGGCGCGCAAAGGAATTGAGCACCCCCCCCTTCTTGGCAATACACACTGTCGCTTGTTGACTCTCTTCGATGAAATAAACGGCACGCTCTAAGTTCTGTATCGATGACTCATGGCTACAACGCTGATGCAGAGTATCTGCCACGACGTGTACTCGGGGAACAGTGATGTTTTCAATAATTCATTACGCTTCTCATGTAGAATCTTGGCGTTCTCTGTTGTACGTAATCCGGAGAACATGCATTTCTAGTATTTCAAAAGTTGAAGAGTATACGAACAGTTTCAAGAGGTGGCCTTGAAGCCTCGAGTCCATCGGTATTTTGCCTCGTAGAAATGCGGATATCAGAGCTCGCCCAGTGGAACGTCGGGCACATGATATTTGCCTAAATATGTAGCGCTAACACGCAGCCAGGCCTGCTTGTTTATGATGTTGTAAATCTAACCCGTCAATATATACAGTAGATAGTACTATTCTTTCATTTGGTTTAACTTTCGCTCGCTTCCTTCAACATAGTTGTAATATTATCAGAAATCCCGCCTATGATACATTCGCTACGCTTTTTCATCTGTTTTCCCCATTCTTTTTACACTCGACTGGGGTATATTATAGTCTATAGTATCTATGGTTCTTACTGACATCGTACAGGACTTGCAAAGTCCTCGTCTATTTAGACGCATACCAACAAATGTTTAGTTGGGCTCACACACCCGCATACCCTGCATCAACGCCTTGTCTCGTGCCCTCAAACAGCTGCCAGACCAGCTTTTACAGCTTCGCAACCTCCCCCTGCAACTTGCAAGTGGACTGTTAATAAACAAGTTTCGATACAGCAATTAAACCTTACGTACTGTCGAATCAGGTCAGCCTAAAATAACAATAAACGTGAAAAAATAGTTAGGCTCAGTCTCCGGGACCCTCGAATTGTGAGACATGGCTCGCAGATAACTGGTCTGCGTCAAAACAAAAAAAGCAACCTTGTAGCTGGTATAAAAGAGGTATCAAACTGTCGCACCATATGCGGTGAACTACCTTTCAGAACGGAGCCATCACACCAACAATATCCATCGCACATCGAGTCAGGTTCTAGACTCCCCATAATACAATTGTCGAGATACGAAGCTTGACCCATGTGACGATTAGGGCATCGGTGGTGACTAGAGACCGTGTAGACACGTATGGCGATTGATTCCCCTCACGAGTTGACGTAAACTTGAAGTTGGGTATTCCGGCTAGGTGTTCTG